TTTTTTTTTTTTTTTTTTTTTTTTTTTTCGCTTTTTGGTTATCGCATCGGGCTGACTTTGGCTTTCTTTTTCTTCTTGCTGCAGGGTCTCTGGCTGTACAACCAGGGCCTCTTCTCCTACAGCAACCTGGCCTACCTCTGGCCGACGATTGCGAACTATGCCGACTCCGAGTCGGACGGCTACACGACTAACCTCCCTAATCGCGTGAACGGCTGGACTGCATACAGCCCGCAGGATGGTGCTTTCACTACGAATTGGGATTTCACGGGAGCGCAGGTTGCTATCGCACGAAACACAGCGCCTTGGACATAGTACCGTTAGGAGGTTCGACGGGGGTGATACTCACGTAATCGCACTCTGTCCGTGTCTCCGCTCATAGTTTCATATAGAATGTCATCAAAGAATATTCTGTTCCGTAGATTCCTGCTCGGTTGGATGGTCCCTTAGGGCACAGATTGATTATGTGAATATGCGTATGACTTGAGTCAAGTGTCTCATTTGAAGTCGATTGGCTAATTAAAGAAGGTGTAACTAGGACGAAGACAGAGAAAAAGGATAAAATGAATTCTAGAATTGAGACCACGAATCAGGAATGAAGCCTTTAACTAATGGTGAATAGCCGAACCAAAGTTCACTGCGGAGTCCAGTTAGCGGCACCTGCCGTAGTTTTCACTTTTTATCAATTTATTCCTCTTTCATTTTCTGGTTGAATTCCAAGTTGTGCGGCCGAGCCCCACTGAGCTAAAGTCCGGTGGCCGACACAACTATAGGGACTAACTTACGGTGTATACTTAAATTGCTGTCACTTCCCCTCACCTCCGTGCCTGAACCTTCTATCCCCAGCACACACTCCACGCCCCTTTGCTCCAATCCTTCATCTCCACTCACCTTCCAACCACCACCACGCTCACCTTCTTGAACGCCTGTCCCTATTATTGGTAATCTGATTATGTCCTACATCAATTTCCACACCCAGCACGTAGACTTCCAGGGCCAACCACCGAGCTTTCACGACACCGACGGTGCTCCCGTCTATGAAGGACCGTACCACGGCCTCCTGCACGAGATCCTATGTCGTGACGATGTCGCCGCGCTCCTCCAATACCGGCAGACCCACGGGCGCATTCTCCGCCGCGCTTACAGCATGCACAGCGACAATCCATTTGCGATTGTGCTGGAGCGCCGCAGCTTTCGCACGTTGCGCGCCCTTGTGGAGCTGTATCCTGAGGACCGCGCGGTAGCTGTCGCGGAGATGCGGGGGTTGATGCAGGATGCTGAAAAGGGTCTACGCGGGGGAAGACGGAACGAAGAGGAAACGATGACGATAAGTCAGGGGCCGTGGACGGAGACGGTGCTCGAGTATCTCCGGCAACATGAGCTGTCGCTCATGGATGCGGCATGTCAGGCGGCGGATCGAGAATTGGTGGAGTGGCTGCTGGCCCAGGAGCCGCCGCTGGGGTCGTTGAAGGAGAGGGATTGTCTGGGAAGGACGGCATTGATGAGTGCAGCGTTGGGGCTGGGATGTTCGGACCACGAGGAGAATTGGGGCGAGGATGCAAGGGAGGTGGCGGAGGATGAGGAACGGAGTTGGGAAGAAGCTGAGGCGCGACGACGGGAGCAGCATGAAGCCTTCCTTCGGTGGCTGATGGCCCAGGAGGAGTGCTGCTCCGTTGGTGAGTCGGACTTGCTCTCTCCTACCATTGATGGCACTGGGACGAGCACTTGTACTGTGCTCGCAGCAGCCATTCCCCGTGCTAGCTACGAGATGGTGGTGCACCTCCTTCAAGCGGGGAGCGATCCGCGGACCCGTTATCACTGGCGGAGACCCCTCGGGTCACAGATGTACGACATGGGATCTGCGAACGGAGTGACTCTGCTACACATTGCCTGTTTGTACTGGAATGGGGAGGCAATCCGCGCGTTGCTGGCGCATGTCGAGCAGTCCGCGCAGATGCTCACAAGTCCCGATAGCCAGGGTCAACTCCCCTTGCACTGGGCGTTAACCCGCGATCGCGGCATGAGTCGCAGAAGACTGCTGGAGACGGTGACTCTGCTGCTTGATGCCAATCCGGCGATAGTGAATCAACCCAACGGTGAGGGCGTGGCAGCGGCGAGCCAGTCGGTTGCGGTGCACGCCAATTCTGGAGCCTCCCTTGCCCCGCTGCTCAAGTTATTTCTCGCCTACGGAGCAGACGCGTGCGTCTGTGACCCCGAGGGCCGCAGTCTCCTGCATCAATTGACTCGCACGAGTTGGGAGCCCGCATGCCTCGAGCCCGATTTGCTGGACCGGCTGTTGAAGCAGGTTGGCGTCAACGATCCGGCAACCGTGGATCAAAACACCGCTCTCCATTACCTGGTGCGCCACCTCAATCAGATAGACGCCGCTCGCCATCTCATCCAGCACGGCGCGAATGTGAATGCTATCAATGCCCAAGGAAACACCCCTCTGCACGAGCTTATGTGGGGCACCTTACCTCGGCGGCTGGACGAGTCTGTTCACCCTCAACGTCCCACACGGGCCCGCGAAGCATTTGTACAGCTCTTGGTGGACGCTGGCGCATCCATGGACCAGAAGAATCTCGCGGGGCAGACGCCGATGCAGCTTCTGCAGGAGGTGCTTGAGCAGCGGCGCAGGGCTCAGGAAGCACGAGACGCAGCTTGGGCTCGAGGTCGCGGCCGAGGTCGAGGATCCGCGGCCGGACGTGGTCGAGGGAGGGGTATTGCTTAGATCTATTGACTGGATAGTCAAGTCTCAAGGCTGCTGACTCGTCGCATTGAACATAAAACAATAAAGAAGATTGAAAGTGGGGATCATGGGATCATTTCAGGGCATGTGTGTGGCAATTGCACAGTGCTTGCTCGTAGCACGGGCACTGTACTGTTCTGTCTAGACGGCGGGAAATGGCGGTATTGTCCGGTGGCTACGGATGGCAAATGTAATCCCACCACCAACTGCTGAATTTGAACGGGGCTTTTAGCATTCTTGGAAGTGGGCATATATGACTCAGATATAGCAGCATCGTTGGAGGCGAAATAGGGTGAAGTATTACTGGCAATCTCTCACGTAGTACTGTACCCTAACAAATTCTGTTTCGGTATCTGGAAATATTGCTACTATATAACTTTCAGTCGTACTACTGAGAAAGACAACAATCAAAGGGAAATGTGATTCATACAGCATGTGATGGCTTGATGACACGGACTGCGTGTTCAATCTGGATCGAGGTCAGTCGTTGACTCTTGATTGGAAGATTCTGGGGTGGATTCGCCGGGCTCGGCGAGCGGCGAGTGAGCCCATCGCAGAGGTATGGAAATCAGACGAGTTGATCTCTTCTCATCCAGGTTGACCTAGGCTGGTCCCAGTAGTAAATGAGTGTAAGGTCCCTAACTCAATAGAAGTCTTTCAGAAACTACCAAAGTGTATTTTCGGCTGAAAAATGAATCAGACGCCATAACATGCTTCTTTCTTGACGGTCGAGACCGATTCGGCGAGCCATCCTTTACCATCCTCCTTGACAGACATCGGTATAGATGGGGGCCACCGGGGTGCACTGGAACCAATCCCACGTATACCAGGACAAGTCTCGTAACGGCAACAGCGCTTTGTCGCAATTGATCGAGAGTGTCGGTTATCCGTATGCTCCAAGATTCAACAATCTCAAGCCGGGATATACCAAGATTTCTCAGACTCGAGTAGCTTCACCATCCGGTCCATCTTGGTGAAAACAACATCGACTCGAGTCATCTTCATCTGCTTCAGGTAGGAAGTAGCGCATAGAAATCACTTATCAGGATTGTCAAAGCCTCAATAAATATGCAAGCTTCTAACTGTCTCCCGAGGTCATCAACTACGTCAAGCTCAAAGACGTCTAGCTGCAGCTGCACTTGATGAAAGGCTTGGCGTGATGGGCGAGTATCGCCGACTTCGCCGAGCTCGGCAAGCCTACCATGCGGGACATCGAGATTCTGTGTGACCAATGGCTCAACCTGTTCCACTTCGTTTTGCATTGTTGTCCGTAAGGACACTGAGCTCCTTCCCGGATGCATCCGGCCGGTCGTTACGGCTCTAGACCAATCAACCCATGTTGCCCGGGGCATATTCCTCGAGACGATGTCAGAGACCTGCAAGCGAGACAGACCTTGCAGATTTGTTTTCAGTCCGTGAGCTCTTTTAGAACGTATAACCGCAATTCCGTCGAGCTCAATGGAAGAGTAACTACCTTGCCAGCGTGACGGAATATGATGACTGATTGTCCATGCTCTGACTTATCAGAGGCGAGGTCTCTCGATGGATTGAGCACGTGAGAGGGCTGATTCACTGCAGTGTCGAGTGAACATTTTCGATGTATGATGGCTTTGAGGATGGCTCTGGAACTACGCCTTGACTCAATAATGGTTGTTGTTATAGTAATTAACTGTCATGGTGCCGTGGAATGATCTCGCTTAGATCACGTGGCTTGAACATCGCTACGCCGTACGCCGACCATAATCCATGGATGCGTGATGCATGCATGCTCGATGGTCTATGAATATGACCAAAGTGTGTTTTTCATATGCTTGAGTACCAGAAAACATTGTCTGGTGGTTGGGTTTTGTAGTGTCAGAGGCACGTCAACGCCAACCCATGAACTGCTGTACCACGAGCACACAGACTGCTTACCATGTATGCTACTATATTACAGAGATTCGGTAGTTGAGAACATATATCATTAGCATATAGTTCGAGCCTACCCTCTCACAAGCAAAAATACCTCATTTCTTACACTCAGACTAATTTCCCGTCTATCTATGCTAACTGGTGAATTTCCAGCAATAACCTGAACCCACGCATCATGTATATAAAATACATTGTGGCAGACCATGCGCCACAACATTCCTAAGATACGAGATCCTTCCACCACCCTCGCCCCCTAAATCCCCTCTACGTGACTTTCATGACGAATCCTGTCTGACTTCGTCCCATATACGCAAGCGAATTTGCCTAATCCTCCGCCTTCAAAAACACGACTGTCTGAGTCATGCAAACGAGCGCAGCCGCCGAGTTGCGATAAGCCGATCATCCCCCGGGCTCCCGATAACACGCTGGAATGTCATGATATCACAAGCCTGGTCCGAGCGTCACCAAGATCCCAGTGAGCCAATAGGAAGCCAGCCTGAGGGATCCATTTTTCAGGGTCTGGTCATGATTGCCAACATCACGCCAGGTGAGTCCCAGTGGGAGTTTTGAGGACCTTGTATCGAGGGCTCAATACGAGGAGGGTCCGTTTATCGGGACAAATCAGCGCTGTCTTATCCTCTTCATCAGCCGGATTCTCAAACCAAGATGACTGATTGGTTGTGTGTGCATTACATCTTTCTCAATTTCACATGGCTTCAGCACGCGTAGAACATCGTGTCTACGACGCCCTTTGAAAGCTGAAGCGAGCGTAAGAAGCTGCGGCCGAGGCCTGCCGCAGAGACATGGGGCCAGGGTACTATCCAGGCATCGGTAGCGGACGCCTTGGCAGCGGAACACCGAGCTTCTACGACAGAATACGGAGTACGGAGTAGTTATACAGATCATTTGTATTTTTCTTAACTGCATGGCAGGGCACGGCACCGCAAGCTCATGACCATAGTTTCCCAGCCCCATGATTCTACCAAATCGACAGAAGCACAGCCCTGGGTTCTTCCTGGCGTTCGGTACGCTGCTCAAAGCGGCAGGGTATGCGAGACCTAGCAGAATCGCTCTTGTCCCTTGACGCAGGTTCCAAAGCAGCGGGCCGCATTCAAGGAGGCAAGGCACCCCCGATTGTACAAGGGCGGTGACGGCAGTGGTAGGAAGTGAATCCTTGGCTGCAATCTTCACGCACAGTAACGAGAGCGGGGTGTTTCACAGTTTTGAGGATGACCTTGCTTTCTGGTTGTTATTATTAGATATTTGCTCACTTCACTGCACACATGAGCAGTCTGGTGGTCGGTCGTGGCGAGTCCCCGTCCCGTCCAGCTTCTACGGGCTTTCCGGCCCTCATCCGTACTGAGACCGATCTCAGAGCTAATGCATCCATCTTCCTGAAATTCGACTCATAGATGTAAGGACCAGAGGCAAGTCAGACGGACCGCTCTTCCGGATACGTAGAAACCCTTCCAAAATCAGCATATGCTCGCTCGCGGGAAAGTATCATATCTACGTTCCCCAATGGACGGAGAAGTCGAGTTTCTATACCACGAAAAAAATAATACACAGATTCTCCAGTAGCAACAGAGATAGAGTTCTTTGGACGTAAAAACAGGAAGATCTCGCATCCTTCGCGGCCATAGAACACCGTCGGCAGGGAAGATTTGGGAGCCGACCCAAATTGCGGTGTGCGGGGGGATTCCGGATAGTGGGAGAGATGCAGGTGCACTTATGCATGATCTCCCCATCAATGGGATCCAGGTGACTAATTGGGTGAACTAATGGGGTTTTGAGATGACGACATTCCGTTTCCGGAATCACTTATACTGGAAACATCGCTCCGAAGTTCGGCCAGGATGAAGTTAAGCAATATCGCTGCATGGGACTCTGTTCCGGATATTGAGGTTGTACAGAGTCCGGAGATAGTAGCAATATATATATTGACTATCCTAGAGTATTCCCTTATGATCGACCTCGAGTACACGACCGTAGGGGTGCTCAATAGCGCAGGATTAAGCAATGTAAGTACTGTATTCTTCGTGCTCGAGCAATAGAACAAAAGTATAGCTTCAATATATAGCGGACAGGCATGCAGTCATAGTGACACAACGTAATGAATGGCGAAGTCAACTGGCTTGCTATCTACTAAACTATGAATTTACCGAAAAATGACATGACTATGATCTATGTAGTTTAGCCTTCCTCGCTTGTAACCTGGAGTACACATGCACGCTCCCGAGGCACCATTGACTGACAGAATTAGACATAGAGAAGAGCGACCACAGCTCCAAACAGAGCCAAGACGCCCTTGGCAGTGCCAGACGTAGACGATGCCACACCCACTGACTGTAGAGCAGCAGTGGAGGAGCTAGTGCTGGTTGAATTGGAGTCCGTGGTGGAGGAACCGGAAGTCGTGGCCTTGGAAGTGGTTGTAGAAGTGCTGTTGCCTGTTACCAAGATACTCATGTCAGTAAGATCGCCTTATAGTCATGTATGAAGCCATATCTTGCCTAAAGAGGACAATGGAGTGATCGACGACGCAGATGTCGATAACACGGGTGTCGTGAGGGTGATGGAGGTGGAAGCGCTCTCACTGGAAGTAGAAGAGGTGGAGGTGGTGGAAGAGGAGGACGCTGAGGAGGAGGTAGTGGTCGATGCTGAGGAGGATGTAGTGGTCGATGAGGCAGAGGAGGAGGAGGAAGAGGAGGAGGACGTGGTACCATCATTCGAAGCACCCTTCTCGACTGTGAACACGGCGCTCACCGCGAGCTGGCCAGAAGAATCAATGATCTGGATCTCATAGTCGTCTCTGTGATGCCACGCCAACAGTCAATCTAGTGCTCTCATGCTTGGGGCATTCTACTCAATCTCCTGCCGGTGCTACATACCCATTGGAGATACTAGGGTTGGGTTGGGTCGTGTACTCTCCATCAGAGGTCTTCACGTTGTCCGCCAGCTTGGTCTGAAAGGAGCCATCCACCGTCCGCAGGATGATACTGATCACCGAAGGATCATTGGAGTCACTAGTGAACTTGATGGTCTTGGGGGTGGAGAAATCCCATTCTGTGTCTGCTGACGGAGTGGTGATGGTGATGGCCAAAGCCGACGCGATGAAGCCCAGAGAAGCGAGTGTTGACGAGTAACGCATTTTGATACAACAACGCAGCTAGTCAGTTTACTGGAGGGAAATTCCGGAAGAAGACGTCACACAATCCGCCAGGGAGACAACTTTTTATATACAGCACACAACAGCTGGGTGCTCGGTGGCACCGACGGCTACACTGTTGGAATACAATTCTATAGGAATCATTCGGTCGATGCCTCTCGCACTGAAGCCCAACAGCATGAGACATGCAGATTGTCTAGGCCTTGAACAGCAGGCGCAATACGAGGTGATCTCAAGTGCGAGCTGAGCCTCTGCTGTGGAGACCGCAAGGAAAGGGAACCGATGCCCACGTAGGTGGACAACAAACAGGGACAGGGATTAATGACTGGATCGGTGATCTGTCATGCTGGGTTGGGTGATTTCACATCATTCTTTTCCAATCAGATAGTTGGGTGCCCTTGCCGATAAAAGACTCAAGCTTTTGACTCAATAAGAGCTACTCTGATGTCAGCGCTAGGGCGGCGCTAAGGACAGGCCAGTCAGTCCGTCTCCAATCCGGACTTCCCGATAAGGCTCGGAAAATCGAGGCTATCCAGTCTGTCAGTCTATTTTTGTCGGTATCCTGATTTCGACTCTGTCATCTATTACCCGTCATGACAATACGGCTCCCGTCACAACTGCCGTGGTGTCATGAATAATGGCCGGAACATTGGTGGCCCGCGGACGGTTCACCCACGTATCATTGATGCGATAGTCGTGATGTCAATGATCTGAAATCTCCCTGTATTTAATCTGCAACCTTGCGAATTTTTTCGTCTTTTCGAAGAGGAAGGATTAGTCTTGAAGAATAGGGACTGCTATTATTCTATACCTAACTGATCGACATTATCATTAACATGTGGTTTGTCTGTTTTGTCTGGAGCAAGCAAGCAAAGCCAAGCTAAGAGGCTATGCCCGATCATGACAAGGCAAGGAGCTTGGGCTGTGTCGTGTGAAAACCATCTAATAGGGGCGACAACAGCATCAAGTCAAAAAAAGGATACGAATTGAAAAAGTAAAAACAAAAAAAAAAAAAAAATAAAATAAAATCAAAGGAATCAAAAGCAAAGAATAACAGAGAAAAGCTGTCGAGGCCACGGTGAGAGGATTCAGATGACTAAGTAGGAGGTGGCCATCGCGACCGTCACCAAAACCGTTCTTATCTCCATCGACAGACCGAAGAACGAAGTCTCAGCACCAGTGGAAGGGGATGGGCTGACGGTGGAAGCAGCCGAACTACTCGGGGTGGCCGTGGGGGAGTCATCGTTATCATCATCATTCTCTTTACAGATATTAGTGCTCTTTTTCAGACTGTCAGTGGGATAGTAGACCCGAGGACCGCCGTCCGAGCTGAGGTCAACAGTGAGATTGCCGCTGGTATCGGTGACAAATGTTTTGCAAGACAAGATCTCCGTCACGTTCTGTCGGGACTGGAAACCCGTGCCATCGGAGCCCAGGGTGATTTTGGTGGTGGCTTTGGTGGCAGGCTTGGCTCCCAGGTTAGATACGACACTGACAACCTGATTGCCAGCAAATCCTTTACGGATGGCCAGAATGTTGGTTGCGTTGAAGATCGGCATTGACAGGTACGAGAGATAGTCGCTTCCAGTCTGTGATTTGAGCGTGTACTGTTTACCATCCCCGCTGGCATATGTTCGAATCCGGTTCAGCGATTGGACGAGCGACGGGAGCGAGGTTGAATCCATCGAGTAATTCGTGAGCCACAGAGCCTCTCGATTCACCGGGTTATACCCCCCCGAGAGGTGCTGCTCCTCTCCGTAGTAGACTACGTTTCTTCCATTAGTGTTCTGCAATTCATGCTGGTGAGGGATCCGGGCATCTGAAACGTACGCACGGGAATACCGTCAGCCAGCATGCTGACGGTGAGGATATTGCGAGCGAGCTATGTCAGAGAAAATCAGACCTCACACATTCTCAGATTAAGGGGCAGTGAAACCAACGTACTGATAGATCCGAAGTATACGAACCGAAGCGCGGGACGTCTTGATTCGAGGTGAACGTTCCCAGCGCCAAAACATCCTACCAATGGTGAGCTTCAGAGTATCATTTCAGGAGTCTACAAGATCCCTACTGACATCGCACTGTGTCTTGGTGTAATCAATGGACTGATAGATAGCGCTCAGATCGCCATGGGTCGTATTGAAGGCGTTGGTCAGGATATAATACCTAGAAACAAGGTCAATACGCCTCTCGCCGTGGACATCTCGATGACTACTCACAGCGGATAATTCAGCAGGCCGCTCACATTGGGCTGTAAAGGACAGATATCCGCCGCAGTTTGGGTTGCGCCCTCGCCGAACAGGAAGACTCCGGCGGATTTGTTGAAGCTCGAGAAAAACTCAGGGGGGATGTTCAAGACACTGTCGATGCGCAACCCATCGACTACAGCAGAAAGGCGCCATTAGTGCCTCCGAAGCAGTAGACTCTAGCAGGAGGTAGAACTTACTAGAGTAGTTCGAAACTAATTGCGAGACCCAAGTGCCCAGCATCTGCTGGACTTGTTGGTCCTCGTTCCGCAGATCTGGGAGTGAGACAACGTCGTCGCCTAGCCAGCACTAATAACCCATTTAGTGAGATTCGTAGGTGAAAAACCAAACTCAACTCACATCCAGAACGCATGTATCATTCAGTGGGTCGCTAGAGAGTAGCTTGAAGTCGTGGAAGTATTTCCGATCGTTGAAAGGATTGAATTTGCTGTAATCGACGGTCGAAGAATTTCCCGCCCAAGCCATGTCTCCAACCACCACATCAAGCATCAAGTACTATTATTCCCGGCGGTCAGTGTCTCCGGTTATTGAAGTTCCATTCTTTGGTGGTTATAGAGACTGACCATTCCACGCTTGTGCAATGCGGAGGATAAGGCCTTGAGGTCATTGGGAGTGCCGAAGTGGGAGTTGATGGAATAGAGATCATTTGGCCAGTACCCATGGTATGCTGTGATCCGACAATGTTTAGTCCTCTAATGCGTGTCGAAGGGCAAGGCTTAGACATACCTGAGAGATCCGATGTTCGAGCTGTAATCTGGCTTTGCGCGGGCGAGATCCAGATCTATTGTTTCGACAAGACGATAGTGTGAGCGCGGTTGTTCTGGATGAGAATCGAAGTGAAGGTTCTGTTCCTTACCGCGTCGAAGCCCAGTTCTTGGATATAGTCGAGCCTTTGGATGATACCCTGGAAAGAACCTCCACAGTAATTGCCCTGTGCGGCATTACAAGCGGAAGTGGTCGAATTGTCGGATCGTGCAAAGCGATCGGTAACGATTTGGTAGATGGAGCGACTGATCCATTGATCCCTGGAGGCGGCGTCAACCCTTACTGTGCAGCTCGCCAGAACGCCTGCAACCACCAAAGCCTTCCTCCACCACCCCTCCATAGTCGGTGACGTTCGCATGGCCTGGTAACTTAACGATAGAAAAGTAAGGAGAGACCAGAAAATGATAGATGGAGTAGTAAGAACTGCTTCCGTTGCCTTCAGTTCACTCTACTTAAATTAAAGAGCCAGTGTCATATCAATTTAATTAGTTACTCCGTACAGCCACTACTATCAAATCTCATATATAGCCCACCGCTACATGCTATTCTAGCCGCCTATGATTGTTAGTGTTAGTACCTTAGCACTCAATCACTGATGATCATTCAGTATTAAATCCCTGCCTGGCCATGATGATGACAAGACAGGATGGGAGTGGTAATGGTAAGTCGAATACCGGTAATTTGGATACCGGTATACACAGTACGACGTTGACGAAGTGGATCGGCCCGTTCTCAGTCCTAGCCAGCTAGCAATAGTCCAGGCCCTGTCATCGAAGCCCGATCGGCCTCTCGTTCCAATTTGCTGGTCCCGGCAAGTCTCCAACCCTGGGGACAAATCCCGCCATTCTCGCTGGATACCGCTGGACGGCTCTTATCTACATTACCTCACTACTGTACCTACTGACCGTGTCCTACCGGTACATTCTCTTCTCTCTCCCCTCTTCTGCCCTTCTCTCTCGGCTCGCTTTCTTTGTCTGCAATCGGCCATGACGTGTACTAATGCAGCCGTGCTGGCCGGTCGGGCATACAGTTGACAGTGTCCTGTAGGTACTCCATACAGTATGTACATTTGGAACCCTGTCTCAGACCCTTGAGGGGTGCTATTCTCGCCGATCCCCGGGTGGGAGATATATGACTTGTCTCTTTGAAAGGGCGAAAACGTATTGGCCCTTGCAGCCACCGCCAACCCGATGGATGAACGCCATCATCGCATCATCGGATTCCCCGATGTCACGCAAATATGGTGAGGTATCTGTATCTTCTTGCATGAAATCTTCTACCCCATGGGTTTTCGCTAAGCATGCGCTGTAAGGAGCGCCGCTCCGCCGGAAGGATTGACGAGGAGAACTGATGGCGACCCACCTGATTCATTCTCGCTCAGCCTTTTTCGACCACTCTGAGTGATCTATACCCGATGCATGTCAGATTCTTTACATACGAGACATGAGGAGTCCTTTTTGGGCCTGGAACCTGTGTCTCGAGGCCCGAGCAAGGTGGCGTGGTTCTCCCACAGCTGAGTTACGTTGGGATAGCGAAGAACATGCTCTGGAGAGGGGCCCCCACCACCAGGACGATGGCGTCTGTTGCCTTCCGCTCCATCCCGCTAAAATTAGTAGATTTAGTTGACTGCCTCACTCGGTGTCAGTGCATTGCGGCTGTATTATGGATTGCCTTATCGCTGCGGAGGGTTCGTTATCTACGAACATGGTTCTTTACTGCTTCTGCACTCTCTGAATATTTCAACATTTTTCCTCTGTTTCTATGACACACCTTGCTGTTGCTGGGATATCCCGACCTGTTGCTGTCTGTATGACTTCCTAATCCTGCTTGTCGAGACTACATCAGTGTGCTCCGTGAATGTCACTATAGTGGCATTCACTGTGCGAAATGAAGCTGCTCGCTCCCCTCACACACTATCTTGCCATCCTTGTATTATCGACCCATTTGGCCCTGTCCCTGCCATACCTTGAAGAGGAAGCAGATTGGAATCTCAACCAAAACCAAACAGCGACAAACCCCCTCGACTACTCAGGCCAGTGGGATGGCCACACATACAACCCTTCGCCGGATAACTGGCGGTTTCCGTTCTACACCATATTCCTCGACCGATTTGTGAACGGCGATCCAAGTAACGATGATGCGAACGGTACGCAGTGGGAACACATCCTGACCTCCAACCAGTTCCGCCATGGGGGCGATGTCCTTGGCTTGGTTGATACTTTCGATTACCTCCAAGGCATGGGGATCAAGGTAAGCTTGCTGCCTCTGAGAAACATGTTGAACAGAACATATTGACCGTAGCTCAGGGCGTCTATCTTGCCGGGACCCCGTACATCAACTGGCCATGGGGCGCGGACGGATACTCGCCGCTGGATCTGACCCTGATGGATCACCACTTCGGGACGATTGAGGACTGGCGCACCATGATATCAGAGGCTCATCGGCGCGGGCTCTATGTCCTCTTTGACAATACTTTCGCGACGTAAGTGTGATCGAAGCTGGAGGACCTCGACGGACGAACGTCGGCTGATTGTTAGCGGGACAGAATGGGCGATCTTATCGGTTTTCAGGGTTATCTAAACCGGTCCGCACCGATCAACCCCAGCGAGTATGACTTTGTATGGAAGTACGATCGGCGATACTGGGACTTTCAGCCGGGAAATGAGGTTGAGGCTGAGTGTCCCTGGGAGTATCCTCGATTCTGGAATGATGACGCGACTGGCTTGACCACCACTACCCTTGGCGCTTCATGTCGGAATAGCGAGTTCGATCAGGTAACGCCCCCTCCCTTTTCTTTGAGTGATTGAGGAATTCTAACCGCTGGTAATCCCTCTAGTATGGTGAAGTCGCTGCCTTTGGAAACTACACAGAATGGGAAGGGCAGATCTCCAAGTTCGCGTTTGTGCAGGACCGTCTGCGTGGATGGCGCCCGGACGTTCTGGCGAAGATCAAACATTTCTCATGCCTGACCATTACCATGCTTGACATTGATGGATTCCGTGTAGACAAGGCCCTTCAAGTGACATTGGACTCTCTGGGCGAGTGGTCGGAGGCGATGCGGTCATGCGCCCAGCAGGTGGGAAAAGACAACTTCTACCTCCCCGGCGAAATTGTGTCGGGCAACGCCTTCGGCTCTCTGTACATCGGTCGCGGCCACCAGACGAATCAAACCATCTCTAATCTCACCGAAGCATTTATGATGACCAACAAGACCGATAAGGCGCAACAAGATCTTTTCCTCCGACCCGCCGAGAAGTCCGCGTTGGATGGGGCGGCCTTCCACTACACCTTGTACCGAGGTCTGAGTCGGTTTTTAGGGTTCGTTTTCCCCTCCCGTCTGCCCGTCTGCCTTTTGAACGCACTCCGACGCTGATATCTCTCCACCTACAGCTTGGATGGCACCTACACGGCCGAAGGTGACCCACCGGTCAACTTTGTGGAAACCTGGAATGGTCTTGTACAGACTAATGACATGGTGAACACGAACTCCGGCAAATTCGACCCTCGCCACCTGTTTGGCGTCACCAACCAGGACGTTTTCCGTTGGCCGGCGATCGAGAACGGCACCCACAGGCAAAACCTGGGGATGTACGTCGTTACCCTCCTCATGCCGGGGATTCCCATTCTCTCATGGGGGGAGGAACAGGATTTCTATGTCCTGGACAATCAGGCCGATAACTATAGTATGCCGTTTTCCCTTTCCCTGGTATCGGTGTCCGCATTTTCTGACCTCGTTATACTAGTTTTCGGTCGTGGCCCCATGTCCTCTGCGCAGGCTTGGCAACTTCATGGATGCTACAAGATCGGCTCGTCCAAATACGTGAACTTTCCGCTCGACCGCGCCCTGACTGGATGTGATGATGACTCTGTCAGTCTCGACCACCGCGATCCATCTCACCCGGTCCGGGGTCTCATCAAGATGATGTTCGAGATGCGGCAGAATTACCCCGTGCTCAACGACGGCTGGTATCTGCAACAGCTGTCCAACCACACTTTTGACATCTATCTGCCCGGCAGTAATGGAACCCCGACCGAGACGGGCATGTGGAGTGTGATGCGGTCGCGCTTTGTGGATCTACAGAATTTTGACGGTCAGGGCCAGGGCAATCAGAGTGTTTGGCTGGTATACTCGAACGACAATAAAACAGTCAACCACCAATTCAACTGTAGCGCCAAGGACGCGTTGATCTCGCCGTTTCCAGCAGGGACCACTGTCAAGAATCTCTTTCCCCCGTTCGATGAGTACACACTGGTCAACAGCTCCCAGACTCTCGGGTATGTTTCTTTATAGAAGATGTTTCCCATGCGTTCACTAACAGAGAGCAGATTCGAAGGGTCAAAGTTGCCGAATGGGTGCTACCCCAATCTAACAATGCCAGCGTATGGCTTCAAAGCTTTTGTGCCGAAGAGCAAATTCGTGCAGCCGTCTCCGTACATCACCCGCTTCACTCCGGGCCACGACGCCCGTCTGTTGGCCAATTCAACGGACGGGGAGACTGTACGGATTGGCTTTGAGTTCTCCCAAAAGATGGACTGTGAGGAGATTACCAATTCGCTCACTATCATCTCCAAAGCTCTCAACGACGAGACCGCTAAGCTTGAAACAGGCTCGGTTTCTTGCACATCCATTGCAGAGACCGAGTTGGTGACATGGCCTGGGGCACTGACTAGTGTCTTCAGCTACGAAGCAGAGTTGAGCAATGTTTTCCCTGGTGTCCACCAAATCACCATTAGTAATGTTACCACTGCCGAAGGGAACCGATCCACAAATGTGAGTCTTCATTCAATGTCGCTGATCATGGAATGGATAGGCAGGCTAACCCCTTGAGCAGTCCGTAGACCACTTTCTTTTCCGGATTGGGGAGACGAACAACCCCATGGTCTGGCCCCAGCTGGCTAACTACAGCAGGAACCTCCTGTTCGAGACCCCATCGTCTGAGTCTGGTGCCTTGTCTGTAATGCCCCAGGCCCCGGGTGCAGACATGTGGCGCTACTCGCTGGATTTTGGAGCCACGTTCAGTAATTGGATGACCTACTCGGGCTTCAATACGTCCATCCCCGGCAAGAATTGGACCGGACCCGCGTCCCAGGCCTGGGACGGAGAGCACATCATCGCGCAGTACTGGAGCAAGTTGACCGGCAGCAGCGATCACTGGCAACATGGAGACGCTCAGTGGGAGTACAAACCCCCCCGTCGCTTCCCCAACCTCTTCATTGAGGGCGACTTCAATCAATTTGGTTATGATGCCGGTTACTCGAACAAAATGTCTCTCAGCAACCTCACCGGTCGGTGGGAAATCCACTTTATGGGCGAGTGGCCGGTGCAGGTGGCTTTCAATGCCTGGGGCATTAACGAGGACGGGGTGCTCGATCAAACCCAGGTCTTTGGAGATCTAGACGGGGATAATGTTTTAGATCAAGTCCCGCCCATCACGCTGCTCAGCAATGTCTTCAATGTGACCATCCCGCCGCCGTCTCCTTATCTTGCTTTTAAGCTCTCGGTGGATGACAGCGAGCTCAAAGTCTACGCTACCCCCACGGGATCGCGGTGGGTTCAGCTCGCCCTGTTTATTCTGCTGGCCATCCTTCCTGTCTCTACTGCGGTCGGCGCAGTATATGTTTACCTGAAAGCGTTTTACCAGGTCAAGTTCAACCAGATCGGCGTTACAGAGAAGCGGTCGGGCTTTGCTCCACTGATAGGGATCTTTCAGAAGAAAACGCGTCCTTACGACCGCGAAGCTGGTCTCACAATAGCTGGGGCCACTGTTAGCCCGTCAGTATCTGACAATGGCAGTGTTGTCGGTGCGGTCATGGAGATGCGGCGAAGGACCGTTCTGATTGCGACCATGGAATACGATATCGAGGACTGGGCCATCAAGATCAAAATCGGTGGACTGGGCGTGATGGCGCAGCTCATGGGCAAGCATTTATCCCACCAGGACTTGATCTGGGTGGTGCCCTGTGTCGGCGGGGTGGATTACCCCAGGGATGACCCCCAGGAGCCGATGGTGGTCACTGTTCTGGGTAATAAGTACCAGGTCGACGTGCAATATCATCGGCTGTACAATATCACCTACGTGCTGTTGGACGCGCCGGTCTTCCGCGCGCAGTCAAAATCCGATCCCTACCCAGCGCGCATGGACGACCTAGATTCGGCCATTTTCTATTCTGCTTGGAATCAATGCATTGCTGAGGCCATCAAGCGATTCCCGTCTATTGACCTCTACCACATTAATGACTACCATGGCGCAGCCGCCCCACTCTATCTTCTCCCTCGCACGATTCCATGCTGCCTGTCCCTGCACAATGCTGAATTTCAAGGTCTGTGGCCAATGCAAACGGTACAGCAGATCCAAGAGGTCTGCCGCGTGTTCAATCTGGATCAAGCCGTGGTTAAGAAGTACATTCAGTTCGGTGATGTCTTCAACCTGCTCCACTGTGCTGCCAACTACCTCAAAATCCACCAAAATGGATTCGGAGCCGTCGGTGTGTCGAAGAAATACGGCAAGCGATCTTATGCCCGGTACCCCATCTTCTGGGGCCTCAAGAGCATCGGCGCCCTGCCCAACCCTGATCCCTCTGACCTGGCGGAGTGGAATAGCAACGCCACCAATAACCCCGAGGACGTGACCATCGATGCAGAATTCGAAGCCAGCCGTGCCCCACTCAAGAGACAGGCGCAAGAATGGGCCGGGCTCAAAGTCGACCCGCAGGCTGAACTGTTTGTGTTTGTTGGACGGTGGTCGATGCAGAAGGGGGTGGATCTGATCGCGGACATCTTCCCCTCGATTCTGGATGCACACCCAAAAGTCCAGCTCATCTGCATTGGGCCGGTCATCGATCTGTACGGGCGGTTCGCTGCGCTGAAACTGCATCGACTCATGGAGCTTTATCCCGACCGGGTGTATTCCAAGCCCGAGTTCACGGCTTTGCCGCCGTTCATTTTTAGTGGTGCTGAGTTCGCCTTGATTCCGTCGCGAGATGAACCATTCGGGCTGGTGGCAGTCGAGTTTGGACGGAAGGGAGCGTTGGGCGTGGGATCACGGTGAGTCTCGAGTTGAAGACTGCTTGCGATCATTATTCAGAGCTAACAAGTCGGTCTCTATAGTGTCGGTGGTCTTGGACAGATGCCGGGATGGTGGTTCACGATGTCAGATTCCTTTCCCCGCGACTCGGAGGTATCACAAATCGCTAATGTTTTGCAGTGAATCCATGACGACCAAGCATCTCACCCATCAATTCAAACTGGCTATCAACGACGCCCTGCGATCATCCCAGGAGACTCGAGCGTTGATGCGCGCGCGATCCGGTAAGCAGCGATTCCCCGTCGCGCAGTGGGTGGAGGATCTCGGTATCCTGCAAACCACCTCCATCCGTAAGCATGAGAAGCACTCGAAACGCCACGAGCGCAGCTCCTGGAGAATCTCCAGTACCAGCACGCTTGTTCCCGACCGCAGTCGCAACTTTCACCTCTCGTCGAGTCCCGACACCAGCCGCGAACAGAGCCGATCGCGCAGCTCCACCATCTCACGTCCGCCCAGCAGGGCTGTCAACGCCGACTTGAGACCAGGGCCGCCTCGACCCGGCCATAGTCGTGGCCCCTCGCTGCCGGCAATCCTGCCTTCTAGTCTCAGTCTGACTAACAATGACCCGGAGACCGAGACCGAGTCAAGGCGCAGACCCTTGTCGTCCATCCCCCGCACAGGGCCTCGAGTCGTCTACTCCTTGGAGAACGAGGGAGAAGAGCTCGAGAACATGTCTCCAGCGCCCCAGACGCCGCCCAACTTCGCTAATTCTGGTGCCAGCACTCCGACCCTGGGTGGTGGGCCCGACGATGGATTGTTAGGTCGCCGGAACCCCAATTTGTCCATGATGAGTCTGGTCAGCGTGGATGACATCGTTAGGGAGAAGCAGGACTACAATCTCCAAAAGGTTAGCCCATTCTTCACGGATGTCAACCACGAATACGCGGATAAGTTCGAGAAGAAGCTGGCCGACCTCAACGGGAAGAACTCCGAAGACCAACTGTGTATCGAAGAGTTCATCGAGAAGAGCGAGAAGGACTGGTTCAACCGCTATCGTGACGTCAAATTGGGCAAGTCCCCGCTACCTTCGCCATCGCCTTCGGTCTTTCGCTTCAAGCTCAACGACAATAGTCCTCCACCCACCCCGGGTGTTATGGGTCCTGTGGAAGACCCTAATGCTGGGCAGTTTCTGCTTCCGAAGGACTACGTTCCTCCCACGGGACTGAAGCGCTTCATGTTAATGAAGCTTGGGGATTGGCCTGTGTATTCCCTTGTCCTCGCTATTGTGCGTAGCAAAACCATCCCGAACGATTTGAGTATGCAACTGACAAGAAGCTTGCTAGGGTCAAATCCTGGCCTTGAACTCCTACCAAATCACACTGTTGAACGGACAGATTGGAGAAACGGCCGAGAAGCTATACACCCTGGCGTCGATTTATCTTGGCTCCTCGATTGTATGGTGGATGGCCTTCCGCCTCGTCCCGTCGGTCTATGTCTTGTCAATTCCTTTCTTGGTCAGCATACTCCTTCCCACTACGCTTCCTTGGTGTGCAAACTGACATTCAAAACTTGCCCCAGATGTACGGATTCGCCTTTCTCTTCGTTGGAGTCGCCGGTCCCATCTCCGACGCCACTAGTCAGACCTGGCTGCAGAACGTGGGAACCGGCTTCTATTCTTTTGCGTCTTCGAGCGGATCGATTTTCTTTGCCCTCAACTTTGGTGACGAAGGTATGCGATCCCGAAATTCCCTCGGAAAAGTCTAGAACTAGTCTCACAACTCCTGTGCAGGTGGAGCACCCCTCAGCTCGTGGATCTATCGTGCCTCTGTTATCCAAGGCAGCCAGCAGCTCTGCATCAGTTTCCTCTGGTACTGGGGAAGCTGGATGGCGAGCCTCAACCAAGAGGGCAGCACCCAATACAGCCTTAGCATGACCAATCCTCACGCTTTGCTCGGGATTGGTGTTGGTCTCGCGTGTTTCCTTTGGCTATTGGGAGCTCTGGTCTTCTTTGGCCTTCCGTCATACTATCGCCAGACGCCGGGTCAAGTGCCGACATTCTACTTGTCGCTCTTCCGGCGTCGCATAATCCTTGTATGTTGCTTTTTGTTTCCCTCCAGTGATGTGCATTTCAAATCCTGGTACTGACCGATGACCCTCCAGTGGTTCTTCTACATGGTCTTCATCTCCAACTACTGGCTGTCGGCGCCGTATGGGCGCAACTGGCTCTATCTCTGGTCCAGCAAACATGCCAAGGTGTGGCAGATCGTGCTCCTCGTCCTCTTCTTCTTTATTGTTGTCTGGGCCGCCGCTCTTTGGATCTTCCATGTCCTCTCCAAGCGACATGTCTGGTTCATCCCCATCTTTGCGATCGGGCTGGGCGCCCCGCGCTGGGCTCAGATGCTGTGGTCAACCTCCAACATTGCGACGTACATTCCCTGGGCGGGGGGTCCAGTAGCTGGAGCCCTTCTGGGTCGAGCCCTATGGCTCTGGCTGGGCGTGTTAGACAGCCTTCAGGGTGTTGGTAAGTGTCCACTCATCGCGTTGCGGACAATGAATCGAAACTGACCCGCATCCAGGATTCGGAATGATCCTCCTGAACACGATGACTCGCTTCCATGTCACCTTCACACTTTTGGCGGCGCAGGTGGTCGGCTCCGTGGCAACAATTCTCGCCCGCGCCACGGCACCGGATAAACTGGGCCCGGGGGATGTGTTCCCGGACTTCTCAGCGGGCGTCAGTGCTGGACTGAGTAAGGCCGACTTTTGGGTTTGTTTGTTGTTGATGCTGTCCATCAACGTGCTTTGCATCTTCTTCTATCGGAAGGAGCAGCTTTCGAAGCCTTGAATGCATTTTTCTATTGATTCTTGACTAGCGTTGGTTTGGTTAGTCGATTTGTTTATTTATTAATGTGTATAGCTGGTTGACAGAGTCTGCCACCGAGGTTGCATTGTCTATAACTGGGTATATATATGGGGAGTTGTATGATTAGGTCCAACTTCAGTTCTGAATTAATCTATATAATTGTGAGTTGAGTGAAAGAAGAGAAGATATTTTCCCACATTCCGCTGTCGGACAATTTGAGTCCGTCCGTGCATTGAGGTTATTCCCACTTGGGACTAGTGGCCCTGCATTCTTCAGGGGAGAGCGGATCAATGGTTACCCCGTCTCTATAATTACAATATAAACAATACGAGCTCTCCCCCCCTTTCAATTGACCTCATTCCTTCCAACTCACTCTAATTCTCTTTCCGTTGCTCGTTTCGCTGTCGCTGCTGCTACTGCTGCTGCTGCTGTTGTTGTTCTGCCACTCTTTTCAGAACAACACAACCCGTCATTCGTTTAAATCTCGTTCCGTCGCTCTCAGTCCACTCTTTCCACTCATCCCCCGAGGAAGAGTCACTCATTTACCCCCCACCCCCACACAATGAACCACCAATTCTTCGCCACCATCGTAGCTCTCTGCGTGTATGCGCACTGGGCCCTCGCTGCCCTAACCGCCAGCCAAATCGCCAATTCGCTGAACGAACTCGCGCAGGAAGGATTCGCAGCCAAGGATCTGGTCTTGGAAATTAATTCCACCGCGGACGCTTCGCCCATTCGGGTAAGTGGCTGCCGTCCCCGGCCGTGCCCCCGGATGGGGCCGTTGGCTCGCCCCTCCCTTTTCCCATGGTCTGATCATCTCCCGCAGGATGTCTACGCCGAAATGGACACCATCGTCATTGAGGTCCTCCAGAATGTCAACTTCATGACCAATACCCCCGTCATCACCGATCAGGCTGAGCAGCAGTCCGTTTACGAGGGTTACTCCAACGTATTACACCCCGTCTCTGAACCTCCACCCAGCATGAGGAATTTTGTGGATGACTCTGATCTAGTTCGTCCAATCCCTCCTCGAACTCATGGATGCCTTCTCGTCCACCGCCGCCCGCTTGAAATCCCTCGACGCGACTACAAAGACTGAAGTCCCGGGGGAGGTTCGCACGCTGGAAAGTGCGGTTGACGTATGTTTCTTTTCTCACCCCCTTGCTTCGATGCAGGTAGTGCTACCGGTGATAAGACGGCTGATCTGAATGTATGGGGTTGTGCATCTCAGGCTTACTTCTACAACATCATTGGCCTCTTCCCCGCAAACAGCTCGTACAACACCCAGGCCAACAACCAGAAGGCGCAGGTGGATACCCATTGCTTCCAGGCGATCTGGGCGTTTGATTCTAGTGCGGCAGCTCAGAGCTCTATTGTTTTGCGCAGGGAAGGTGCGCTTGGTTTGCGCCGTGGGGTCCGCCGGTCTGTCTGAGCTGAGTCTGAATTGCTTGGGGACAGCGTATAGCGGGTCGGAGGTTGTGGGGCAGGGTTGTAGGGCCCATGCTTCACTTTGAGTCCGATGATCTTGGTTGGACCTTCACTGTATAGTCCTTTTTTGCTTCATTATATTTGGATATGTATCATAGGACTTTTTAATTTCTACTTTCTTCGTCAAGAGGATGTGTAGTGGTGGATCTGCGCGATGTACAAGGTCCGGGGCAAGTACTGTTAGGGCAAGCTCAAGGTCACATGCCGCTGCAGGGACAAAGAGTATTCTGTTCCGAATGTCCCGTCAGTTGACCCAAAATAAGACATAAGACATTGCAATTTCGGCGGGAGGGAAAGGCGTTGGGACATGGGATTTGATAGACATACATAGCCATCCCTTATCTAGCTGCTGCCTGACCGAAAGTGTATTATAGATTGACTAGCGGTAACGATGAATAGATACGATCACAGGGTGCCACTGGAAATAGGGCTTCTCATCCGCCCAGCTGTACTCCAGCTAGTATATATCAAACACAGCTGAGTAGAATATAAGTCTTTTCTTAGTTACTACTTTTCAGATAAGGAATACTAAGATAAGGAGTACGTATAGACAATCTAGAAAACATCATTCAGAACATAGATAGAAGTGAAGTAAACTAAATAGAGAAATAAGTAATAAAGTGAGCAAGTAAATTAGGTAAATAACTAACTCAACAAAAGTTTTAATATTAGTTAGATTATTTAATCACATCATTCGTTTCTTTTGTCCTTTTTAATGTTTGACTGAGAAATCAGCAAAAACACCTTAGGGTAAATAGACATAAATCTGGCCCTCACGAGAAGGCATTTATTTACACACTATTTCACGGGGGGCCAAGGCGAAAAGGCGTGAGTGAATATAAACGAGTTCGTGTTGACGGCAGCCATGAACCCATCTAGATCTGTGGCAATACGTGTGGGGTCACCCATGATATCCATCAGTTCTCCTGTAACGAGGTTCATCATTGCCGGGCTGCACCGGAGTCAATCGTAGCAATAATGGCAGTGGTTTCGAGGGCGCAGTCGAGGGGTTGACAAGAGGTAAATATGCCCTGTAGTAATAGTTGAGGCAGCATGATTGTCGTGTCGAATGCTGTCGAGAACTGGATTCCTCTAACCAAAACGCAGCGAACGCAGAAGTTGGCTTCTTATCCGGCCGGCAAGAGCTCTCCCGTTGGTCCGCGACCTGATTCATTTTTCCCATTGTGACATGAAGGCAAGCCAGGTTAAGGATGTGGTTGGAAAGAAATATTCGATAGAGGCAAACACAAATGCAGGGCAGATATGACTGTGTAGGCTGCAATAATAGAGGAAAAGAGTGTGAGGAACAATTAGTGATTGACAATGTCAGCCTTGAGTAGTGAAAATTAGAATTAGTAAAAGGTGCAAGTATGCCTCCTTTTAACCTGTCAGGTAAGATCCCTCCCTCCCTTTGATTTATAGTCAAGCTTCTCAGCGAGATGTTATCGCGTATCACTCTTGCTTGACTGTGCATAGACTCTTCTCCGTCGTCACTTGCCCCATCCATCCTATTTCCCCTTCCTCTACTCGCTCCCTCCTCCGCAAGCCTAGAAAACTTGCTGCTGCCCCGAGTGACCCTCAGTCTCGGGCTAAGGTGGCTTTTCCCCGCAGATGCTCTCCCCCGAGCACCAGCCCCGGACGTACCGCGATTCTTGCTCCGCAGCTTGTCGGGAAGAATCGCACAATTGACGGCCATATGGAGGGGAGACAGGCTGCGACAATGATGATTCCTCCTTCGAGGACGGTCCAGATGCCGAGGTTGACTGAGGCCCCTGCAGTGGTCTTCTGTTAATGGAACCCCAGCCAGGTCTAGATATATTGGGGCCTGGAGTGGTGGGGGGGAAGCAGGCAGGCGTACAGGTTCAATCGATCAATGCACTCGCCTGAAGGAAGTTTACCATGCGCAGAATACTGGTTACTAGGCCCCTAGATTCAATAAAAGAAGAAGAATCTGGTCAGCCTTTACCCCAGCCATCGATCACGAATGCTCTGCATGTTCCCCTCCCTCCCCGGCTAGACAGTCCTGCAAGGTGCAAACCAGGGGCATTTGACGGAACCTGCAATCCACCGAGAGAAAAAACCCCCGTGAGCGCCCACTTGTGCGTCAAGCTCGTCTGCAACTTCCAAACAAGCGGCATCGGCATAATCAAAATGACACAGCCGGTGAGGATGTTGGGCAGCGATACATATCGATAGAATGCCTGTTGGTCGAAACACGATCCGCCGACGATAGTCTTGTCCCAGATATACTGTACTGGCCAGCATTGGAGGAAGGCCGCGAAAAAGACGCCGGTACCGGACGATTGATTGGTCCGAGTACTCGCCGGACAAGATCGTTGGTCACGTTTCATGGAGATCAAACTAAAGGGGATGAGTGGGACTTCTTTTTCGCCCCCACGTCCTCTAAAAGGATTTACTGGTTAGATTTCATATTACTACCGGAGGGAGTTCGCTTGTTGCAATTCAATCCCGAATCCTCTCCGCCTTAGGTTCGAAAGCTAGGTAGTTACTGCCCAGGGTCTATTGAGGACTGGCTTTACCCGATATAACCGATTCTTTTTGTTCCTCCGGATCGACGCGCTGACGCCTCTACCACAACAATGTCTCAGTCTTTCGAAGACGAAATCGCAGCCCTAACACAAAGGGTGCAATCAGACCCCGAATTGCTCAACCCAGAATCGCGAATCAAAGCTTTAAAAGCCGCAAGAGACCTTATACACGCAATAACTCCCCCACCAGAGACTGCTATCCAGGATGTAGTTTTAAGCCCGGTTCTCCTCATGGCTATACGCGTGGGAGTTGACCTTGACGTGTTTCAAGCTATCTGCGATGGCCAGGGCGAGGGAGTGACTACTGACACTATTGCCGAGAAGACAGGGGCAAGTTTTCTTCTGGTTGGTACGTTGTTTGTATCCTCTCAGTGTTGCTAAAGCTAAAATATGATAGACCAAATCCTGCGAGTGCTAGCGTCGACAGGGTATAATTTAGAAACTAGTGTGCAATCCTTCAAGCCCTCTCCTTTGACCGCAATTATGGCAAACCGTCATTCAGCGCGATGACACGGGCATGGTACGCCGTTCTCCTGCCCCAGTTACACCTGTTCTTCTCCAAGTTCAGAGACAGTCTAACGGGACCTGCATCACAGCTTCGATATTGGGAATTATACTACAACTTGCGCCCCAGAGTATTTCCGGCAGAACAAGCACGCATTCTTCTCTTCCCCAACAGAGACCCCCTTCCAGCTTGCCAAGGGCACGTCGCTCGACTACTTCGCCTGGTTAGCAGAGAACCCGTTATTAGCAACAGACTTTCAGGCCTGGATGACGGTAAAGCAGCAAGCATCGCCAAGTTGGGTGGACTGGTTTGATGTAGAGGGTCTGATTCTAGACGGGTTCCAAGAACACAACGCACAGGGATCATCATCCAGCGATGGTGAAACGGAGGGGGAGCAGGCAGAGCCCGTCTTAATCGTCGACATTGGCGGCGGACAGGGCCATTACCTGCATGCATTCAACCGCAGGTTCCCTCATGCACCCGGCCAGCGGATTCTCCAAGACCTCCCGCATACAATTGACGCTGTTTCCGATATCCCAGACAAGACCAAACTCATGGCATATGATTTCTTCACTGCCCAACCTGTTAAAGGTACAATATATCCCCATTATTTTTTATTGATATCCCCCTCTTCCTTCAACCCCACTTCGTATACAGGCATAAATCGTCTCTAACACCCTTGACGGGCAGAAAAGGAGCAAGAACGTACTATCTCCACTGGATCCTGCACGATTGGGCCGATCCGCAGGCCCGCACTATCCTCTCAAACATCAGCGCAGCCATGAAACCTGGCTACTCGAGACTGGTCATCAATGAGTCGATTGACCCTGATAAGGGCTGTGATTTCGCCACGGCTTGTATTAGCGCGATGATGATGCTTCAGGTAGGGGCGAGAGAACGCACAGAGGGGCAGTGGAGAAAGCTATTGCCGGAGGTGGGGTTGACTGAAGTGCGCTGTTATCAATCGCCTGCTGGATCGGCGGGTGAGGGGATCATTTTTGTTACAAAGTAGAGTAGATACGTATGTTTGTACTACGAGATACTAACTCGCCTCGGAAAATCACGTCAAGGGCTACCCGGCATTTCTTCAAGGAGGGCCATATTTTCTCGACGTGAGACTTTAGCCTCCAAGATTTATTGCTTGCTGCAGAATCCTTGTTGCCTTTTCTGCATAATTGTCTTTGTCACATCCTAAAGTGTTGCTGTAATCCCCCGAGGAGGCTGATGCGAACCTCACGGGTAAATCTCGCTTGGCCTGACGGCAAGGATCTTCTCTACATGTGAAAGGGACTGAGGGGTTACACGTCCAGGTTCTTTATTAGAATGGTGTTTTCGTAGCTTATGGAGTGATCATGGTGCGCTCGCGGAGGCTTCCACGACGCTTGGTTGGAAGTCGGAACAGAGACGGCCGGCAAAGGGTCCACCACGAGCTCAGGAGAATGATAGATGTCGGCGCTCATTCTGAGAAACAAAACAGCGATCGTGTGGAAAACTGCGTTGGGGGTTTGGCTCGGAAAAGCGAATGGACGGAAACATTTATCGTCGGGGAAGGAACCAACATGGTAGACCCGTGACCCATGGAGCTCCTGTCGCTGCTAGTGGAAATCCTTCTCCTTGCCATTAAGAATATAGTGTGCCATCCGACCTGTAGTAACTAATAAGACAGCTGCTGATAGTGGATTTATGGAGCCTCTGCGACACATAACATGTGCTGCGAAGCTATTCCGCCCTCCATCTCCATTTTACTGTACAAATCCGATTCAGCGGTACTATTCCTGTGCTACTAAATTCCCGACTATTTCCTCTCCCTCAGAATTGCCTACTTCAAATACCTGCGGAATAGAGTTTCCATGTTCAAGAGATGGATATTGAGAGTAATAAAAAGTTACCCTTCTAGAAACTTCGTATTCTACTGCCTTATCTTAAGAACTAGATTATATTTAGGTCTGTTAGAAACGGCTGCGGACAGCCACAGTATAAGCTATTATACCATTCTTGCACCCGCTAAATATGGACTTTATATGACTAAGAACATGAATAATTCCAACATTTTCTGCTATCTTTGCAGTCTATCGCTCTTGTATATTCAGTAAAAGCCTGGTATCTCGGTACTGCCTACGATGCCTGCATTAGAGACTCTAGCCTGAACTTCTGCTGTTATGACCTTTTCCGCACCGTTCATGACCTATCTTATGGCTTGAGCAGAACCGTCATCACCGGTGCAGTCCGAGAGTGGCTCACGATACCCAGGTTGGGTACAATTGACCTCACTTATGCGATCGCACCAATTGCTCCGCTTGTGTATGCGCAGCTGATTAAGTCAGTTATTCCCATTGGACAAAAAACTTTCTTAACAGGACTAGGTATAGAGTTGCGGAACTCAGTATAGCTATCAAAGCTGCTTGGATTCCAGCGACGTTGCAGCTCATACGGCTCATTATCGCCCGCGTCAAGCCTTGGGTGCAAGCGACACAACGGCATTAGCTAGCACTTACATAACAACACATATAATTCTCCTGTGTCCCATGTTTTGAGAGTTCTTTTTTTTGCCTACTCCGCTTACTCTTTTGCTCGAAGTATACCCCTAAGTTACCAGATTAGACAGCCCTAATACTGACTACATCGAGAGAGCGAGGTTCCATGAAACGCTACTCAAGTATGGCCTCTGGAGCACTGCTCTGAAGCACTGGCAGGTGTTTAAACTAGGTAACTCTATGGCGATAACATTCGGACCATCTACGCTGATGAAAATCGAACTCCGACGCTACTGGCGTAAAACGCGACAGATAAAGTCAACCACTGCCTGCATGCAACCTAACAGGGTAGCGAGCCTCATGGCCATTGATGACGTGAAATGCAATCCTCTTTTCAGGTATTTGCAGATAGCAGGAGCTACTTCATGTAGAATGATCTCATTAATCGTAACATCGACTCCATTCCATTCAGCAGGAAGTAACCCTACAGATTTGCCACTTGTTCGCGGTCCGTATTAACCTTCTCATGCTCCCCATTCGCACACAGCCTCTCCGTGCCGATGTCATAGAACCCAACCCTTGTCAGCACCAGACGCTGCCCCAGATTAACCACACGGCAGACCGCTCGCACTTCCGCGTCTACTGGGAGATGTGCAAGAAGGTCACACGCATCTTGCGACTGACGCCCGTGTCCGAGAATCGACCCGGTGCGGCGGCTGCGGCTGCGATAAGTACGTTTGTGAAGTTATCGACCAATGTGGCAGTGCACCCTCCATGAAGAAACCCCTGAGGGCCGCACATTTCCTTTCGTACCACGAATCGATAGGTCACGGATTGGTGGGGATGCTCGGCAATGGACTCGAGTCGGAGATCGCAATGGTCGGCGGTGATATCCCACAGCTCAAGATGGGGACTACTATTTAGAAAGGCATTTTCCGGGCGTCAGACGAGTCTCAGATCTTACCTCCGTGAGCCTCTGGTGGCCTATGAAATGAAAAAACCCAATAGACATTCTTTTCGAAATCCTGAGCGATGTTCTCGGGTGCTGACATCGAAGCTATGTTCAGGACCATGTTGAATTAATACTGGGCAGTCGGGAAATGACGTTGAGTGTGGTAAGATTGATGCCCATCCAGAAGTCGCGATGTGCCTCTCAATATATAGTTTCCATGATTACGCAGCAGCACTGACATGCAGTCATATGATGCTTATAAGCATCCCGTAATTCTATGATACAATGATCGCTGATCTGAATCATGTCAGTCACTCTACCCTTTCGGTACTCCTATCCCCACTTGGCTTGGCTGCATATAGCCTCGATTGGAAATTCGTCACGATGCAGCAAGCTCTGTAGAGTTCCTTTTTCATTTGTTACATAGGCGTATGCGCATCATGTGGCACTTAGAATCTCTGACAGAAAGCATGCTACTATTATGTATGTAACCTGGTTCGGAATATTCTTGGTGGTCTCACAGACTAAACTCTAGTGCGCATGTCGTCAATCGAACTAGCTACGTACATGTAAATAGATATCTTAGGCTACACAACCATCACTTTTGCTTCATTTCCCGGCGTGGCAGGCGCTTCCAGGTCAACTCAGGAATGACTTCCTCCCCCTTGGGACTGACCACGGATCTATCCGGATGAGTTTCACTAAGTCACAATCATCAACCGTCTCGAAGTGCACGAAGCGTCTCCCAAGTTGCCCGACCGCATTGGAGAAAGTACAGTTTGTGAACTTATGGTGAACCACTGGCTCTTCACTATCCTCGTCAATATAGAATGGACCGAAGTACGCAAGATAGCGCTTTGCCGCCTGGGTATGCTCCTCCGCGGCAGGACTCGACTCGTCTCTTGCTTCCAAGTTGAGCCCGTCGGGTAACGGGAACTGGACGGATACATAGCCCGCTTCGCTGTAGATCAAGAGGCCCGAGACCTCTTGACCGAAAGGATGATGTTCTTGCTGGAGGCTATGTGTTGACCCGGGACGCGAAGTGCACTCCTGGAGTGCCCAGGTGCCCAACAACCGATTGCGAAGTCGACCCCGGTCGGCCTTCCTGTTGCCTTCGCGCGGGGCTACCAGTCTGGCGTGGGCTGACTCGACGTAGTTCCGCCGGGAAAAATCTAGTGCGTACGTAGGAAGGTATGTTCTCTCCTTGAGATAGATCTCTTCGATCTCGGACACGGTCCGCTGACCGACGCGATCCATGAGCTCGCAGGGACCCCACTTCGCCTGCGTTGCAGACTTGAACATAGTATCAATCTCCTCGGATCTTCCGCGCAGCCTTCAGCGAGGACCATCATGACCTCGCGTTTGATCGCTGCCCAGATTCGGTTGAGAATAAACCCGATGGAGTCCGCCCGGCATAAGAGCGGCTGTCGTCCCATCTGGCGCAGTTCCCGAGTCAACATCTCCATAACATCGAGCTCGTGTTGCCACACGACATGAGTTCAACGAAAGGTCCCTGAGCGGGGGGGAAGTAGTGTGCATTCAGGATGCGACGTTGGTGCGCGGTGGCAATATCCTTGACAAGCACACTGCTTCGGATTGAGGATGAGTTTGTCGTGATGAACGTGCTCGGTACGCAGAGGTAATTCAATCTTTGCAGTAGCCGAGTCTTCGCTTCGATGTTCTCGGCGATACACTCGATCACCATCCACGCATTCTCCACTGCGTCTGACAGGTCAGTGGCAATGCTCAGTTGCTCGGACTGGCCGGGGTGTCGATTGAGCTTTGTGTAATATCCAGTGCATAGTATCATGAGCAGCATCCTCGTTGGTGTCATACAAAATCACTCGGTGGTCATGCTGAGCGTAGAGAAGAGCAACCTGGCGCCCGACAGTACCACATCCAACGAGGGCAATATGGGTGCTAGCGCTGCAAATGCCGGACATGTGGGCTCTAGAAAACAGTATGTGGTGGGATTTTCTTCTGTCTATCGGAAGTTAGAACTGACAATGCCTCTTTCTCTCTTTTGCGGGGTGTAGGGACAATCGGTGCTTAAACCATCGGATTTCAGGGGACAAAGTTTGACATCCTCTTAGCTGTAGTCTCGCTTAGATTGGGTTTGGTTTCCACTACCCTCTTCTTCCCAACTTTCTCTTTGGATGAGTTGCACAGCCAGATTGGGTTGCCCATTTTGTGCTAAGATGCATGGATGTGGCAGACAGTCTGTCCTTGATGGGGGTTCCCTTCCCCAAAAGGGAATCAGACTTCTACTACCTTGCAGAGGACTTCGTCATCCTTGGCACAACCCCATCAATCAAGCACATTCATTCCCTCTGAGAATGCGGAGTAGTCCCCGCAAATACTCCGATGTCAAGTCAGTCGTCGTGTCGAGGCGGAAAAGGCATTCTTGGTTCCAGGAGGAGGGGAGGGGGAGGGCTTCATTGTTGAGAGGAAGGGAGTGGGAGGGGGTGACGTGAACGCTAGTGATGGTGGGTGGTGTTAGTGTAGTAGGGGGGTGGTGTGGTTTGATCATGAAGTGATACCTAGGGAGAAGAGCATGAGAATTGACCTGCCCAGGTGTAGAGGCCAGGATCCCGCCGTGATGGCGCATGCGGTCTCGTTTACGCGTTTGTCGCTGCAGCCCGGTGCCGCCGCCGCTTTCGTTCCAGCCGATGTGGCCGAGGTCGAGATCAGGGTCCTTCGCGGGATCATACGGGGGGTCCCAAGGTGTGACGATGCCTTGGGGTCCCGCTTTCCACGTTGGTGTCTTCGTCGATGGGAGGCCGGGACGGGGGAGGAGGAGGAGGGGGAGGGGGAGGGTCGTTCAACGGGTCTACGCCATCATTATCAAAGTCGCCGAACATATGCTTACATGACAGCGAGAGATTAAGCAATCATCGAGATAGGAGAGAAGGCTTAGGATCGCTTCCGAGGACTTTGCGATACATAACTGAGGATCGCTCTCGGCTGCCTCAGGCACGAGCTTCGGGTATTACCGACACGATGAGTCCCCACTGGGAATAGCGCCCTCCACAATTCTTATTCTGGACAGTCGTCCTAACCTGATTTCGAGCTGCGGAGACAATCTCCTTCCATACTCAAACAATGGTACCTATCAGTCTCAAAAAAGGGGCACACTTTATCTGGGGCAGGGTTCAGGTGTTCGTTCAATTGGCTCGTCGAAATTGCGGCCCCCATAGTCCCCACTAAGATGAATCACACTCAAGACTCACAGGGTCTTCTGATGTTTGTCTGTTCTTGGGGGACTTGCCCCTAAATTCTTCTCATCTTTCCTGGTTTACCATCCTTTACATTGTCCTCAATACCCTGGGAATACCAAACGTCAACCGATCTTCATCATGATTGCTGTATCCTCGAAATCGCTGTGCGCTTTAGCACTCTTGCTTGTCTCGGGTCAAGCTCTGCAATGGGGCTCGTATGCCTGCATGAAAAGCTCAGGTGACATGACGAAACTAGGCTCATCCCCATATCAAACCCGGGGCATGTGTCAGAGCCTGTGTGAGAAGGAAAACGGTTACTTCATGGCTTTACAAGACGAAAGTTGTTGGTGTGGCAGCCAGCCCCCCAGCTTTGGCAGTATGGGCGGCACGTGCAATACACCATGTCCGGGCTATCCCACTGACACTTGTACGTTTACCTGCGCGACTGACTTGATTTATGTCACGGATGGCTGACACGATACTTTGTTGTTTCTAGGTGGAGGCGACGGAACTTACTCGGTCTGGGAGTTGGAGGAGGATTACTCGAATCCCAGTTTAGAGTCGAGCGCCACTACAGCGGTCACAGCCTCGACGGGAATGACTTCGATTTCTGCCTCTACCACTGGCTCTCCGGTGGCAGTCTCGACGTCAGCAGGGATAGTCTCTTCCTCGGTTGCCTCTTCCTCTGCTGCCACTCCGTCGGCTACCGGCACCACGCCTGTGGCTCAGGCCGTTCATACCAATGCAGCTAGCCGCCGGCCTCGAATTTTGTTCTTTTAGTTTGACCTACGTGGGTGAAACTGAACTTGTGGAGATCTTCTTGTCATAGTCCAGTATGGAAACCCACCCACAGCCTCCTGCGAGCCCTGGCCATGCATATGTACACATGCACGGAGGCCACCGTACTGGCCTATTCTTCCAATCGATAGCATGGTCGCACTCGGTACGCATGCGAGTCTGTTCTGATGGAACATTTCTAGGACGATTCCTGTAAAACTGGGCTACCATATGTACTTCAAGTCTAGGAAATGAAGGGAATTGAGAAAGACGCATGGCAGATGGGAACATATTTCGAACATGCTTCGCTCCCGACCAAAGGTCCGGAATTTTCATAGATGATGCGAAGACGCGACTTGTATTTAATCTTATAGCTCTGGACTCAAGTGAATGATTGAAATCATGCCCAACCTATTACAGACAGGTACGCGGAAGAACGGACTCAATGTCATTCCGTACAGGATTGCTCGAAAGTATATAAGCCGGGTGCTCTATTATGTATGGCCGGGACTAACCGGCTTTCCCGTTACCTAAGCTACCAATGCTTGAGGAGAGCATGATTCCATAAAATCATATTCACATTGAGAGAAAGGTATTCTTCCTGACAAGTGTATATAAATGTTACGGAGACAGCAAAAAATAAACAGTATTGCTTACTGGAACCACATACTGACGTTGGATATATGTCAAAGCTAACAGCTGTTGAGCACATACGACCACAGGGTGTGGAAAATAGGGCTTCCCGTCCGCTCAGCCGTACTCAAGCCACACGCCGGGAGGTTAGTAGTTGGGTGGGTGACCACCAGCGAATCCCTTCTGTTGTATGTCTTTTTGTTCTTTTTTTCAAACCCTCTGCAAATTCAGCTTGCTGTTGGCTACACTTGGTCCGACTGCTATCTCATACAGCAAAGACATCTCGCCGAAGAAGTGGTCCTTGTTATGCGTCGACAATGTTCACACTCTCTCCTATGTGTTTGCAAGCGCATCCTCTTTCCGCTGGATCGTGTAGTCTCGTCAGCCTCCTCTCACTAGTTTTTCTGATTCACAATTTTCATGACTCTTTGCATACGGGGCGATTGGGCGGACGAGTTTGAAAGCCGCCGCGCCACAGTGGACCCAAAGTCCCTGACCGAAGCTAAGAGTTGGAATAAGAGTCACTTGGCACTACCAAAAGGTACCATCGGCCCGGTAAGGTACGGTACTTGGCTCTCGAACACCGGCACGGCAACCCGATATACCTCCCACTCGTCATCTTGCAGAGCCATTTAGATTTTGACTATCGTCGGCTCTAATTTAGGGAAATGTAGGTTGATACAAGCTTTCGGAGCCGACAAGATCAGGTAGAGCTATTCTGTATCTCATTCCTATCCAGGCCTGTATATGCCGGTAGCTCGGCTGATCCTCGGTTGACATCAAGCTTGCGCAGGGCCAACACAATCGTAACTTGTACACCTTGTTGACTACTAGACGCGCTTAGTAATGCTCTGATACATTAGGGCAGAGACGTAATTTCCTTGTCTCCTTTTTCTTCGATGCGTGAGATCGAGGGTAAGTCTAGCGCACCCCGCGATGCCGAATGAGTCTCCAGGAATTGATCATTCCTATCACCCACCAGGTACAAAGATCGTAATGGTTCTAGCCCACAGAGGGTAGATGACCATGTAGCTGCCCATGGGGATGTGCTTTGGGATATCCATTTCAGGGGTCGACACAAATGCAACGAATGCAGACTTGTACATAAGATGTCTTGTGATTGATACGTGCTCTTTGTCGAATGTTATCCCAGATGTAAGTCCAATTTGTCATCTAGACCATGTTATCTTGCCAATGAACACCACATCTGCCACAAGACTTATGTTCATACCAAGGTAGTTTACGCACCGGCAGTCCTTCTCCGCGGCGGCGTTGTTGTTGTGCTGTGGGCCCCTCCCCCCGTTGGGGCTCACTTACATAATTTCTACGATACGTTTGTGGCCCCATTACTCGCGCTGAATAAAAGGACGTGTCACTCCCCTCGATACCACGATACCTACTTTGCCTTCCAAAAGCTTGTTCCAGATTCCTCTTTCCATCCCAGCATCTATTGTCGGTGTCCCTCAACCATTACCAGTGGTAGTCATCATTCGCTGCCTAGACTTTCTTTCACTTTTCAAAGCCTTTCGGCGGTTCTTCCATATTCACAAAAATGCCTGACCACAGCACTGGATCAAGCCCATACATCTCAGACGTGGAGACCTTGAACCACACGAGCGAGAAGACTGTCAACCCTGAGACCAAAGTCTCTCAGCCTCATGGATCTCCTATCATCAGCAACAATGAACATCAGGAATTTGCTAAACTGGGCATCCGCCAGCGGCTTAAGCATTTCACCTGGGCCTGGTATACTTTGACCATGAGCGCAGGTGGAATAGCACTTCTTCTTCACAACCAGCCGTATCAGTTCAAGGGGCTGAGGGCGATCGGCCTCGTGGTCTATATAGCCAATCTCGTCTTCTTCACTATTCTCGGCTCTCTCATGGCTACCAGGTTCATTCTATACAACAACCTGATGGACTCTCTACGTCATGACCGGGAGGGTTTCTTCTTTCCGACCTTCTGGCTCTCCATCGCCACTATGATCAGTGGCCTAGCCGCGTATTTCTCTAACGAAACCACGCACCGGCTCAATCACGCCCTTGAAGGCCTCTTCTGGGCGTATTGCATCTTCACCTTTGCCTCTGCAGTGATTCAGTATTCTTTTGTGTTCTCTTACCACACGTTTCCCTTGCCCACCATGATGCCATCATGGATCTTGCCAGCATTCCCTATCATGCTCAGTGGGACTATTGCCTCTGCCGCCTCAAGCTATCAACCTGCCGTGTCCGCTACGCCTATGATTACTGCCGGTGTCACATTCCAGGGACTCGGATTCTGCATTAGTTTCATGATGTACGCCCACTACATTGGACGTCTGATGGAGGCGGGCGTTCCTTCAAGCGAACACCGACCGGGTATGTTCATCTGCGTTGGTCCGCCTGCTTTTACTCTTCTGGCTCTTGTTGGCATGGCCAACGGGCTACCGGAGGGCTTCAGTATTTTGGGCGACAGTGGCATGGATGATCGTCATACCATGCGGGTGCTTGCCGTCTGCGTAGGAATGTTTCTCTGGGCCCTCAGTGTTTGGTTCTTCTGCGTTGCTTTGGGTGCTGTCATCCGCGCACCTCCCCACGATTTCCACCTGAATTGGTACGCTATGGTCTTCCCTAACACCGGACTCACGCTTGCCACTATCACCCTGGCAAAATCTCTCGATAGCACCGTGCTGAAATGGGTGGGCGTGGGTATGTCTCTCTGCGTTATTTGCATGTTCATCTTCGTCTTCTTGAGTACGATTCGGGCTGTCCTGAAGAAGAGCATCATGTGGCCCGGTCGGGACGAGGATGTGTCCGAGCTGTTCGAATGAAAACCTCTCTCCTCACCGATGATGTTTCGGCCTCTTTATTGTCGGTTGTGTCCTTTGAAGCGAGTATATGCATATGCATTGTTGAGCGCCTGTGATTTATGCTGTTTTTTCATGCTTTCGACGTTCATTTCTTTCTCCAAATCTAGCATCCTGTCTATAGTCACGATTATCCAATCAGTATATAGCAATATTGCAATCTTCATGCATCTTCTACCAAGACTTGGCAGCTGGGAATACTCGACCCCTATCTTGATATTTTTGAACCGAGTTTGGACAGAGACATTCAGCCTTAGGCAGTTTCTACTCACCGGCTGTAACCCATCAATGGTTGCCACTCCCAGGAGTCAGCAAACTCTGCCCTGACCCCCCTCCCCCTTGCCAACCACCAAACCAAGCCTCACGCCTCACGGGTGGGCCCCTATATTCGCCTCAGCATCGTCGTCATCAACACCATGAACAACGTTCAGTCGAACAAACGTTTATCATTTTTCAGACAGACAGTTTGTGTCACTAGTGATACAGTCGAAGATGTAAAACTCTGTCCCACCCCCTACACATCCCTAGGAAATCCTAGTCATTATTAACAAGTTCCCCCTTACCAGCCCAACAGCACACAGGGCAAGTAAATTCTCGTCAGATCGGGCAAAACCGTAGCCTCTTTCCGAAAAGACGAACACGGCATGCCGTGATCACCCGATATCAAAAACGAAGAGGGGCCCTCGCCCTTTCCCGGCATGCAAAAGCCTGGTTCTCAATCAGGATCGTCGCGGTTAGCCGCAGTCGGACAGTGACCGAGAACCAGGACCCACATACCGGGTCTGGCGGGGCACTTTTGCTTGCTCACTTGTGTAAGCCTCACCCGTCTCGTTTGCCAGTGACCCGGCGAAAACGAAAATTCTTTAGCCTTGTAGGTTGGTTAGGGCAAAAGGAGGTGAGTTGGCTCCGGTGGCACTTCGGACTTGGTTGCATAACTCGGCTGTTTCCGCCGAGGGATTTGACTGCGTATTATTACAGGTCAAAACACCGATGGTGTACTCACCATGCGAGGCAGTGTTGGATGACGTAATGGTGTATGGTAAGTGTATGGCTGTTAAATACGAGCCCTAATTTGCAACGTGCGACAGATCAGGTCGTTGTAGACACAACAAAACAGAAGCTTTTTTTTATGCAAATCACGAGATTTGTCTGACTATTCCGGAAAGTGACCTCGAAAGGTCTCTCATTGAGATTCCTTTGAGTTTGGATTTTCAAACCAGAGCCGGTCATGTTGAGGGAGGGCTTACACCGCATGTATCGACCGAAGCTGGAGACTTCTCACGTGACACATGTGTTGCAACTTGCTAACTAGTAGAGAGAACTATCGCTAATGTCAAAAGTTACAGAATGGGTTGTGCCACTAAGTATGTTCCATATCGATTTCAGCGCGATATCTGGCTTCCCAAACAAAGGCAGGTGTGTCAAGTAGTGAACCTAGTGATCGGGAAAGCAATAAGAAGTAGACTCCTGCGCGCCTAATATCGGATCTTTTTTGTTTCATCCTCGAGTTCTGTTTTTCTGTCCGCAAGTTCGAGAAGGTGATGATTATGTCAGAAGTATAGGTCAACCATGGAAAGAGGTAACTAGTGAGTTAATGCACCCGTCCCAGCGGAATCCCCACTTGAGTAAAAGCTATCAAAGATTTTCGATGTTCCATGAATCCATAGAACCATGCGATTAGGGTTTCGTTTACAAAGTCTCCGAGCTAAGCTAGCTCGTAAGGAGAGGAGAAATCTTATGCACTTCAAGTCAAGTTTCGAAGGTTCTGAATGCACTGGTATTGCAATGCAACGCGGATAGGGCACGTGCGCAAATACTCTGCGTTGCAGACGCTGTCTGCGTGACGTGATGCAAGGCATGGGTGCATATCGAGTCTGGGGCATGCGCTTAGGAACCAGCAAACCAGGTCTGGACTTTGTATCGATAACCTTACTACCTTACTCATCGAATCCCAACCCTACTTCACTTCACCTGATGACATCCTTTCTTGAGACCAAAACATCATGCAGTTTGCACTCATATGGAGTACTTGAACGCAGACAAGAATAAGATTCAACGCCACCTGCAGCATGCCACCCGGGTGATGTTCATACGTTGACCACCGACTGCCTACCGCTAACTGACTTCTGTATGCTGCAATCATAGCCATGACTGCTAACACTATTTCTTTGAAATTGTCACCTCAAATGTCTGCGAAGTAGCCACGCCAGACTAGACAGTCTTCCCACGGACAGCCAACCGTGACTGCGAGAGCTATGTCAGTGAGGATATCAAGTCGGATCATTGAGTTTTTCTTTCTCTCAACAAAGCATTTACACAAGCTCGTCTTCAACGTAGCCCTCCATGAGGCAATCTTCTCCACAGGATTCATGTCTGCTTGATGGAGATCAAGGGCGGGAGGGCCGTGAAGAGCAGATATCTCGCTTGTGGACGCACGACTCCGACCACAAAATTGAACTCGAGTGTCCGCAACTACTCATAGCAAGAACAAACACCGGTTTCATGATGAGGCATGATTGCAGGTGGCGAGGAAAGAAGCGAACAGCAAGCTGACGGTGAAGGCAATGATAAGGGTCACGTGACATACGCTTCGGGGCCTGTTGCGAGACGCTTCTATCCTCTTTTACATAATGGATCATCTCTGCAGAGATGAGTTCAATCTGGATCCCTGTCTTGCTAGGTAAGTTATGCATTGTATATTGACTCACACTTTGAGATCCATCTTATTCTTCACTATTATCAAGCATTGAGTTTGGGCTGACTGGGATGCATACTAGTTTGAATGACATGTAAGCCTCCCGCGCCCTTGGGATGATCCAAAGCGGGTCTTGGCAACGGGAATCTTCCCGATCCCCGGGGTATTCCCGACCTCCGCAAAAGATAAGAACAGCAACAACTGCACCTGCAACAAACAATCCAATGTTTCGAGCAGCCATCACTCCATTACGAATTTCCCCTTCATACCCCCTTCTTCGACGCACATTCAAAATGAGTACGAACGGTGCCTCGTCCCAGCGCACATTCCTCGCCTACCAACATGACGCAAAGCTGCACACGTACGACACCACCGTAACCGCTGTGCTGCCATTCTCGGCTCTTGAGGAATCCAACCGCCTCCTCTTCAAGCAAGGCGGCGAAGAAGATCACGTGGTGATTACGGAGCAAACCATTTTTCACCCTCAAGGTGGCGGTCAGCCCTCCGACGTGGGGAGCATGACCCGCGCCGCCACCAAATTCGCCGTGACAGCCGTGCGGATGGGCCTTGCCCAGCGCGACGGCCAGGTCCTCCATCTCGGCCGCTTCGAGGCGGCAGCAGCAGCAGCAGCAGCAGACGATGCGATCTTCCAGCCTGGCGACACAGTGCAACAGGCGATTGATGTGGAGAAGCGGTTGCTGTACTCGCGCCTGCACACCGCCGGCCACGTCGTCGGCTCCGCGGTGCGTTATCTGGTCGAGAACGAGATCGAGAACTTCGATGAGTTGAAGGCTTCGCATTTTCCCGACCTGGCGCAGTGCGAATTCCGGGGGCTGATTGACGGGAAGTGGAAGGAGCCGATCCAGGGCAAGGTGGATGAGTTTCTGGCGGCCAAGATGCCGGTGCAGGTGGAGTGGTGGGACGAGGAGGACTTTCGCGCAAGGGGTCTGGAGCGGTTGATCCCCGATCGGGCGGCACTGGGGGTCCCTGCTGGGGAGAAATTTCGTGTGGTCAATATCGTGGGCGCGGAGGTGTATCCGTGTGGTGGCACGCATGTCGAGACGACGGATTTGTGTGGGCCGACGAAGGTGAGGAAGATCTCGAGGAGCAAGGGTATGTCCAAGGTTAGCTATGCGGTGGAGTGATAGAGTTCCGACTTTTGAAATCTCGCTACGCGTCATAGACAATCAACTTGTATATATAGATGGAATAATGCGCTCTCCGAACAGTCATGATCGTGGATTAATAATTTCATACACGAACATCGTCTTATTGACTGGTAGCCTGCATCCAGCCCTTGCGTTCAACTCAAGCCTTAGGACCCGCAACTAGCTGATCCCCCATAAGCTTGATACTACGCGCGAAGTCTTCCGTGCTGGTAGCCGCCCAAGCCGCACTATTCCCCGGCACAGCATTACTCCCCGTGAACCCTAAGTATAGAACATCATCCTGGCTATGCCCACTATTTCCCATGACTCCAGATCCAAAACACAACTTCGCCAACGAGATTGACGCTTCGCCCGTCTTGTCGTCCGCATTTGTATCGCCCCAGACCCCGTAGAACTAAGTATCCCAGTTAGTCCATCCATCACCGCGCCAAAAAGCAATCTCTCTCCTAGTTCGGACTATCTTACCAACTGGTCACGACAGACAACAGCCATCACACCCAGCGGGTGCATACAATATCGCTGCGGGTTGAAGTTCATGTTGCCAAAGACAACGTACGGGTGGATATTGGCGTTGAGGTCGTTGATGTCGTACTTCTTGGCCACGGCTTGAAATGCAGTCTGGCCCTGTCTTGATGGGTCATTCGCACAGCCCCCAGCGCCGGATTCTGCTCCATCACAGTCGATGTCCATGTCTGCGTATCCGGTGGCAGAGCTGATGAATAGCGCCCCTGCGATGTCGCCGCAGTACTGCGTGGGCCGCGCGGCGCTGGTGCCGTCGTTGAAGCCCGAGGCAACGACCGCCTTACATCCTGATTTGTGGTTGCGGTAAATCTGGGCGAGGTTGTCGGGGACGCTATATGCGTAAATGCCAGTCGCAAAGAGAGTGTTCAGGACCAGGGAGGGGTACATTTTGAATGTAGAGCGGAGCTTGCAGCTTTTGACGATGGCAGGTCGGGTGGGACTTGGTGATCCTGCTCAGCACCAGGGGGTCTTAAGACGGTTTGATTGGCTTTTTGTCAAAACATGATGATTCATTTCTCGATTTCCTTATGGCTTGAGAGACTTGGACCGATATCAGGTTTGCAGAGCGGGCCGAATTCTGTATCGGTGGTATAGTAGCCGGGTCAGCCAGCCACCGATTGAAATGCTCGAGCAATTGAGTTTTGTGCCGTCGGAGTCGATGACACTTACAACAATACTTTTTCGCTTTGTTTACCCATCCCGCAAGGTCCATGATTCTCAGTTGGGGGATGAGGCTTTGGCTTGTGAACTTCCAGTCCAGAATGGACGCAATTAGAGTAAAGGGGGTGAAATAGACACAGTCATACAATTGCGGAATTCGGGAGACATAAGCCCAAAAAATGCATCACAGCTCTCCTCTGATCACAAGCATCTCAATACGGAGACCTACGTCAAAGAATAAGATCAATGGTTTTCGGTGGTCCATCTAACCGGGAGAAGAGGGACAGGCGGGTGGGCCTAAGCACGATTTAAGGTACCCTGAGATCGTGATTCTCTGCCGAGTGTCCCACCACTTGATGCAAATCGTACTTTGACGGCAGCTGCACTCAGAATATTTATTTGTGCAGCGGCCATTCTTTCCACTGCAGCCATTCTCGTTGCAGAGCCCCACGTCCTGATCACAGCCATGTCCGCACGCGCAGCCCAGATACGCCCCTATACGTAAGACAATATGATCCTCGATGCGCGTACACCACTTGGTCTGCCAGGTGGCTTCCCACGTTCTTACTGGCCGTAAAGGGATAATGGACTGAGTGGCTCGGTATACGCCTGCCATTAGAATGCGGGGGATACAGATGTCTCCTGAAATAAGGACTTGACTACGTATTTATAGCTATGAATCCTATTTTGGAGAGTACATTGTCATGAAAGGTGATTCGCAGGAGGATTTGTGATGAGAAAAAAGGCGCCGGTAGCATACACAGTAACTACTAAGTCTGTGCCTGTCGTTCCAGGTCGCAATGAACTCCGGACCCAGTATTTCTTCCGATTGGCTAGGTGTTTCTTTTGTGATCATGTGACATACCATTTCAGGCTAGTAAGTGGAGTGGGGTACGGAAAATTTTGTGCTTCATACTGTGTACATGGTAGAAAAAAGATACCACCACAACATAAGTTGTGAATGATGAACAAAAATGAAAGCCGAACGCGGGGGTTGAACCCGCAACCTTGAGATTAAGAGTCTCACGCTCTGCCGATTGAGCTAGCCCGGCTGCTTGTTATGATAGATAGCAGTTTGTATGCATTACAGACTTGAACTTTCTAGAAAGACTATTTTTCCCTTGACATTCGCTCGGCAAAAGGCTAGAAAGTTTTGGGATACGTCTCAACTACCTTGTACCCATGTTTGTTGCAGAGCTATATAATGCAAATGGGAGACAGCGTTCATTTACTCTGACCCGGGACTCACCGCATCTTCTCCCATCTTCTCATACGCTTGGAGGATGTATGAACTCATCGAATATATTTCCGTCTTAGTCCATGAGACGATGCGGCCTTGAGCGGATATTATTCAAGAGAAGAACATACAAGTTCGAGTTGCATTGTTACTCGTCTGTCTAATCGCCTAAGCTAATTACTGTCACTCACTCCTGACATCCGTCTCTGAAGGAAGTGACAGTTGCCATGCGCTTGGGCTCTACCTTAATAGCTTTCATGATTTTCGCCGCAGATCCCTTAAATTGGTTGAATCTAGGAAGGTTTTTCTCAAATTACGACCAACTAAAACATGAGATTGATGATTCTGACTCATGTGGACCAACAATGTCAGGGTACAGTTAGTCTGCATCTCGCAAAACGACTATGATAGGCTTACACCGTGCACTGGATCGGCTAAGCGAAAGCCAGGTTTGTCTATAGTATTAGACTAATATATGCCTCTTGGCTGGGATTCAACCCAACCTCTATGCTCCGTATGCGCCGGCGTAGTACTGGAAGAGTACAAAGAAAGCCTAAAACGAACTATCACAAGTCGAGACCCGTCCAACAGCTATCCCTTTTTGAATGCATTGGATATGTATATACAGTGGGGTCGTAAATATTTGCACAGAAATAAGTTTTCATAAAACAAAGAAAAAGAATTCACATCAATCGTAAGATGATTTACATCACGCTCAAGTGACTCACACTGGAGGCCTTGCTCACACGGTGGCCATCGTTCGCCTTGTTGTCCGCGGCCAGCGTCTGGGCGAACTTGCTGCGCTCACGAATCTGCGGACCCTTCCAGTAGAAGACATAGATGGGGATGACGATCAAGCACGACAGACAGGCCAGAATGGTGGTTGCGTACTCGACGTGAAACTTGTCGCCGATGTTGGTGTACATAGGGGTGGTGTACATGGCGGCGATACCGGCCAGCAGGTCACGGCAGAAGGCGTTGCCACCGGTGGCCGAGGCGGAGTAGACACCGTAAGCGGCGACCATGTAGTCGACAGACGACAGGTAGATGGCGTAGTTGGCGATGCCGACCATGGCCGAGAAAATCATAGAGACGATCCACGGCACCCCGTACTCCTTGCCCAGTGAGGTCCAGGCAAACCCGAACAGGCCGATCGGTTCCAGCAGCGCCAGGTACAACAGCCACTTGAGCCGCCGCTCGGGGGGTAGGGAGTCTTCGCCTTGCGTCTTGCGGATGTGCTCGTCACGCCAGAACCAGGGAAAGTACGAGAAGTAGGCAATTACGTAGGCGACGTTGATCGGGATGACCGCCCAGGCTTGGCCTAGCACGCCGAAGCCCCAGCCTTCTGAGTAGACGATCGAGAATCCCTCCAGAAAGGTGAAGATGAGTGCATCGGAAAACCCAGAAAGCAGTGACAGGCAGAGAACGATGGGCTCGCGGAGGAACATGTAGAACGGGCGTATCCAGATCTCACCGGCCTCCTTCATGGACACCCGGGGCTTTTTTAGTTCATTGGGACCGTAGATGTTAGGGTCTTCTCCGGACTTGCGGCGGCGCCTGGCCTCCCGGTCGATGAGAATGGTGGAACGACTTTCCGGCATGAAGAAGATGATAGCTTGCGTGACAGCACCGAAGATGAGTTGGATCCAGAAGAACCACTGCCAGTCCAGGACTGGTTGAGTTGGTCAGTCAGTACCCATGAGAGTGAAGACATGGCTGGGGGGACATCACTTACAGCGCTCGATCGGTCCACCAATGACTCCACCAATACTCGTTCCGATGCAGGATGACAGGACAATGAAAGCAAGAGGAAACTGCTGTGTTTCGGCTTCGTAGAGATCTGCGATGAGACCAAGAGTGACACTGCCTCCCGCAGTGGAGATTCCACCCTACAATGATTTATATCTCAGCATCTAGTCTCTAAATAAGGGAAAGCAATCCCAATCACTGGCACCCATGAATACATACCAATCCGCGAGCAACCAGAATGGTTCCCCAATTTGGAGCCAATGCAGCCGGAATTTGCCAAATGTTGATGAGAAACATGGAGAGCTGCAGGATGGGCCACCGGCCAAACTCCTCACTCCACGGCGCCCACAGCTCACATCCCACGGAGTAAGTGATCAAATAGATCATCTGTCCGGTCCGTGCCTCCTGTTCACCAATTCCAAAGGCCTTGGATAGAGGCTTGACTGCATTGGGGAATACAGAGGTGTTGAAATTCATGGAGACCTGCACACAGGCAATGGCCGCGAGGTACATCCATTTCTTCCATCGGGGCCAGCAATAGGCTAGCTTGTCGTAGCAATCTTTCTCCTTCAACTCCCGCTTCCCGTTGGAGCGCAAAGACCCGGCCTCGTCCTCTGCACCTCCATGCCAGGGGGGTACGATGTGGTCTCCGCTGTCCTGGCGGTCACTAGGCTTTTCTGTGTCCGAGAAGCGGCTGCTCGGTGACTGTGATTCGGCCCGGCTTAAGGGATCGGTCATTGTGAGGAAAGTTGTCTACTAGAATGTGTGTGCGAGAATGACTGTGTTGCAGGATCTAGCAACAAGTACTCGTGCCGACTGGGAGAGTCGGGGTTGATAAAGAACCATGAACGTGGAGCAAGCGGGGCAGGGAGGGGAGAGGCGGGGAAGAAAGAGATTTTAAGGTCGTGGGACTTTCCTTAATAAGAAGAACTCATTTCTCATGAAGATATGTACGCTACGTATTTGCGTCGTGTCATTAGGGAAAGTGATGCGCATGCTATGGAGGCCTGTGGAATGTTGTCATAGTTTGCCTCCCAGTCTCGTCCTCCACCGGCTGATTCCCGTTGGTGCCGATTGAGGGTCGGGATGGCCTCCACTTGGCGGTGCCGATCCACTCTCCGTGTCCGAACAACACAACACCACGGGCCTGCCAGACGGTTATGCATCGAGCTTGAAGAAGTTGACCACATGCTTACACGTACAAGACTGATCGTGTCTGCTTTCATGTCATAATTGACGGAATCGCATCCTTTGCTTGGCCGAGCGGGAAGAGTAGAGGTCGAGCCAGGAAGCGCCTATGAATGTTACAACTCGTTTTCCGGTTTTGCTGATGGTGTCATAGACACATGAAAGACATTGTAGAGTTGGCCCGAGCTTTGATGGAAGGAACTCTCTGGCACTAAAGATATGATTGTCAGCGAATGAAGGATCGGTAGAACTCTGACGGTCAGCAAGGGCCGACCCACTTGGAATGCTTATGATATCATGCTAGAATCGGTATTCCTAGCTATCATGGCGCATTCTAGAAGTTTTTAGCTCGCATATGTGTCTCTACAGTTGGGGAACAATGCAAGCGGCGACAGTGGGGAACAGAGTTATCTGGCACACAGGAACCAGGAAGTAACTGACGAGCAAACTTCGACCATGTTATCAAGTTAGGGTTTCTTTCCACACCCAGGACAACACGAGCCAGGAGACCACCGGGACCCGAAATCCGAACCGTGGCCAACCTACTGACTCGATCATGAAGTGACGTACAGTATCTGCCTTGCAAGACTGAGGGATGTAAAAGTTTTTTTCCGTCAGGCACTATCGATGTGCTATGACGTTCTTGAGCTCCTCAACAACAAATTCGGTCGCAGTTTGCGGCTGTGGATAAGTGGATCGGCGGGTCGCGCATGCTTAGTGCCCCCTGGCGATCCACCCCTTGGTGGCGAGACCAGACCCTTCGCATCCTTGGTATATTTCTCATGCTTTGAGGATGGTCTATATAAAGGAAGTCCCTCGCAAAAGTCTATAAAAGCAACGATACCACAGTTGCATTGCCATCTCCGCACCCAGTTCTGTGATGTAATCATCGGGCGTATCGATCCTGTGGGGAAAAAGATACTGCCTAGGCTTTGAGGTTGGACCGTCTCTAGCGCAGAGAGATTTTATAAAACTTCACGACGATTCAGATGTGATGCGTCCAAAGGACGGATTGGTGAGTCGCATGATGAGAGTGCCGTATTTAAGTCGACTAGATCTTCTCTTCTACATCTATTCCAGCATTATTGGTACCATGCGACCGCAGTACATATCGGCTTTGTTGATTTCTGGAGCATTTCAAGTTCAAGAAGATAACCATGCCACTTGAAGTATATTTTTATTGCAATCCGACCTCAGGAAAAGGAGATTCAGAGGGATCGTGTTCGAGGAAAAGTGCCGGAAACTGTGTCGATGGAAGCACGGAGAGAGAACATTCTATGATGTTTCGCTATGTATAAACAACGATTGAAATCAACTCAGGTGGAAGCGTGCACTGACCACGTTTAGAAGAAAGTATATCGGTGGAGGGGCTAGCCCTGGCTTGTCCACCAGTTCGCATGCTTCTTGTCCCATACCTATCTTTTCTTCGAACTGAGAACTTTATCAGTCTTCGATCATTATATAGGCGAGACAATGAAAATGGTCGGCCGCTCGGTTCTGGCTTTGATCATTCTTCTCAACTTTTTCTGATAGTGGAACTTGTTCGGTGGCCGTGAAATTTATGTAGTAAATTCGGCATGCGGGCGCCCGTATATAGTCAACTAATGTCTGGCCTCGTGGCTGTGCAGTCTTTTCAACAAACCATCAAGTGATTACACTCTGTTGCCTAGGGTCATCAATTCTCTCTTAGGGCTGACAGTTTTGCCTGTGTGATTTCGAGAAAGAAATCATTGTCTGGGCTACTGCTTAAACTAGCTGAATGTTACATGCACAGGATGTACACCTACTGTACAGCTGTATTTGTGGATGTCTAGAAGAGGCAAAGGGAAACAACTGGAAATTCCGAGAATTTCGATTTACAAGTAAGTTCCACCATATCATACACACATACAGTCTCCAGACATTGTAGAATTCGCAATTTGGGGATGATTCAGCTCCAGGCATTCATCGCAAGTCGGATGCATACCTTGCCTCATACCTGAACTCTGCAGGCTTCATCTTCAATTCGCAATTAGCAATTATGAAATGATGACATGCCGCTTCAAAAGTGCATGGTATCTCCCAATCTTGCATGAGTGTGTCTGATGCGGTCTATCAACCCGTTGTCTAAAAGCCTGGCTACAGCCTTCCTTCGTGCTTTGGCATTGCAATGCTGTCATCGCTCTGAATTCTTTTAAAATAGGTATGCATGGCTTCACGCGAACACAAGACAGCTGCTGAGCTTTTCATGATGTCGTCATTCTACTTTGGATTCTTTGCTCCGACGTTGTAGCTTGAGGATTGACCGAGGTCAACAGTTTGAGGATCCATGTCGGTTGATGGTAGGCATCCTCATTCATCGCCTCTTCTTCCCATAGTTGAATGCTGCTTTCCGTACCGTTACCAGCAAAATACAAAATGTCAATAGTACCGTAAGATGTACTTCTTACTCAGTCATTCGACAGTCTTTCTGCCTTCCACCGTCTTTGAAGCTGAATGAAAAAAGCGATACTTTCTGTTGTTTGAGCGCGTTACTCTAATAGTTGTAGCGCCCCTGTCTCCTCATTCAGTTTCAAAGAGAAGTATGAAATCTAAATGATTTCCTGCAGTATACCTGGGATGACAGCAGCTCTAGACCAAGAGCCATCCCCATTGAACCCCTCAAATGACAGATCATACGCACAAGCAGAACCCACTCTGGTTAAGGCGCATGCGCGACAGCAGCTTAAGCGAGATAACTGGGCGACGAATAGTCATCAAGATATTTTGACTTCGCCTCCGGGGGCAATATGAAGTTGAATCTAGCAAGGCTAACACAAGTGCCTGAACTAAGGTCAAGCAGCAGACCAAGACGAGTGAAATCAGACTTCTAATAGGGCAGTGCACGACGCTACCTTAGATGAAACCGGGCCGGTCGTAATCACCTACACGCGAAGAGGTCGTCAGTTAGCCTATTTAAACAGCCCGAGTGCCCTGATTCTAAGTACGAATCCCTTTTTGGTAATCAGCCAGCCTTTCGAGTTTTCTAGCTTGACGCAAGAAGCGGTGTGACGCCACCGCTTACCCTTGATTTCGAAGGGAACCCAGTTGAGAGGGAGGAAGAAGTCATGTGGCAATCTCTACTATATTGCGCTCTTATAGGACTGTGCTGATATTTTCTAGGTTTCCACAGCACTGCCCGGCTCAGACCCCTGTCGACCCGAAGGGGAGGATCTCGTAAAGAGGTGATGCATTGTTCCAAGGGTTCTGCGCACTATGGCTGCACCTAAAGAAATGAGGAGAGAAATAGCTTGAGCAATGTCCCACACCAACCAAGAAAAAAAAAATCATTTCGATGAGAGATAAGTGAAACAAAGAACCAAAAAGAAAAAATCAAAGCAGATAGACATCTTTAGCAGAAGTAGAAACAGGCTTAGTTATAGGTTTGCTCTATGGTAGTCAGAAAAAGATTACGGGGCCTTAAAGGTAGGAATGAAGTACTGTACAGTACAGCAATACATACACCGTACTCCGCATATCAATTGCAGTTGCCACAATCTCAATATGATATGTTAAAAAAGAGCATCAGTATAATTTTTACCAGCTTGCCCCTCTCGTCAGGCGGCTTGATTGGCTAGGCTACCGCACTACGCTCTCTACCTTACTTATATACTCCGAACGAGACCGCGGCATGCCCCGTCTGAATGAAGAGTCCAATTATGGGCTGACCCGGCAACGTAAGGAGTATCTCTGTCTGACATCAATCGTGGCTTTCTGGGTTCATTACCATAAGACGAAAGATCTTAGAACGCCCAACAAGTTCTCCGGCCCGAAGTTAGGGCTCAGTTTTTTTAGCTTCGGGGTATCCTAATTTGAGAAGTCACATTGTATTGAATAACAAGGAATTTTGCCTATATAGTGGTTATACCACTCAAGCAGATAAGGTAAAGATGAAATGGGAACCTCAATAGAAGGAGGAAAGAATGCACAGCCTCTTGAATCCCCAGCCACAACCAGGTAGGTTAGGCATCAGTCCCAGGCGCCGGCTGCCTGAAGGCGGTAAGAAGCCAGCTAATCAAGAGTCCGGACTCTTATTGACAATACCAATTACCACTGCAGTAGTACCAGCATATCACTAGTAGGTACCTTAGTGACTGAGGTTAGTAGGTAAGTTCGGTAACTTACTACCAGTTAGTTCCATTCTCGTCTGTAGATTTACTGCAATCAAAATGGTGTCTATCATAAGTTGGCAATCAGGCGGCGACTGTTGAATTTTGAGCTTGTTCCTTACCGACTCTTGTATACTGTATGGAGGTTACATTTCGATGAATCTATTGTCACGCATCAATAAACATGGCAGCTTTTACTGCCATAAGCCTTGACAAGGTTGGCCGTTGGCTTTAACCGAGCTGGTGAACTGTATCCTGAAAACAATTCGAGATGACCACCCGTACCTTCGCTGCACAGCCTCAACTCTCAACTCTCAATCGTGGCCACGCAGGTCTTCTTAGAGAGCCAAAATGTTGCTTTCTCATCTTTTTGCGTGAGGAATTGGTTTCCCTGACCTAGGCCTGACAGTCTAGCCGGGTGAG